TTAAGGTTTGAAAGGGGGGCTAAACTATTATTTACAAAATTTCTTAAATGGCGTGATGCTATAAACACCTATCTGTTAAGCTAACAGCATAATGTATGAAACATATGTGGGCTCATTCAAATAAGGATTGTACCACAGGCAGCAATACCGAACTAGCAAGGAACAGCAAAAATGCTATAGCTGCCTTTCTAGCTCTAGATTTTAATTCATGAGCTTAGCTGTTTAGGCATCCACTTCTTTCATATTAAAACAAAGAGAAAGACATGAATCTTGACAATTAATAACATCTAAAAAGACCCACTCATACATTTGAAAAAAGGAATTAAAATTGTTTTACCACTGAAACTACCTTCTGTGTAGCAGTGTGACCATCACCAAATTCCAAGGAAAACCACCTTATAGCCAAAATTGAACTGCTGTACATGCTACACATGTATCTCCAGCAAAATATCACGATCTCTGAAGTAGAGACTTGCTGCTATCTAGCAAATAACAAAGCGAGAAAGAACAATGGAAATTTTGGCAAGGTATATGAAAATAAGCCTTTATGCTTACAAAAACTACAAGATATTCTTAAGTGTCATACAGAGACATATTTAGAGCATCAAAAATAAACATGGAAACTGGAAGTTATTCAATTTATCTAAGGTCAATGGATTCTGGTATTTTAGGAAGACTATCATTCCAAGCATACTGTTGGTGAAAAAGTGTCAGAGAGAAGTCATGAGAACTATATGAAATCCATGACACAGTCTTGCAGAAACAGATTTAGGAAATCGTTAAAAAGAAAGGAGATATGTGGCTCAAATGGGGTCCATAATTATTTACACGTGGGAAGATTTCTAACTATAGAAGGCTCTTCAATTTGGCAGATACAGGTACAATAATGCCCAGTAGCTACGATGTTAGGTAAAGTCAAGTAAGTAATAAGACATATGTTTAAAAAGTCAGGTGGATAAGTACAGGAACAATTTTCTGTTGCTTGCAGTCATTAAGTGAAAATATCTTTTTAAAAAGACGATCTTGCTCAAACCCAAGTATAGGCTTAATGCTGGAATGACTGGTGACATCACCTGGTCTGTGATTAAAACTGATAACCACAGTGGCTTGTCCTAGACTACAGCAAACTGATGAATATTTACCACTGGCTATAGCATTTTCTGTAACAGTGAAGTCTGCAACAAACACAGAATTTGCTCTTGAGGCACTTCATGTTTCTGTTCAAGATAGTCAAGACAGAAGGGAGGTACAGGTAAACGGTACAATCTGGAAATTCTCCAAATCTTACTCACACTATTAAATGTTGGAATAAGTTGTGTAAAAATAAGAAATTGGCATGAAGATTTCAGATAGCTGTAACCCTTACCAGCACATATTACAGACCCTTATGATGCAAACTTTAAGAGAAAAAGTCTAGAAGTCTAAAAGGACAGAAAGATTTGTTTACATGAGGAAACTACTGAAAAGTAAGTTGAAGTGAAAATTTATGTCATAGAAACTATTTTACAGCAACAGTATTTCTGGGGCACAAACAGCAAGTTCTGGCAGGGCAACAGGGAACTGCACTTATCTCGGAAGCCAACAGAGATCTGACCTTTTCTTCACTCTCAGTCTTCATATTAAGAAGAAAAGTTGAACAATGACAAACTGCTACAGCTACAATGCTGTCTAGAGACATGTACACTTCGCCGTCCTATGCTGCAAAAGCCAGGAGCTTCATCTATCTGTGCTGCTTAGATACTCTGTGGATGGGAATTGGGGAGGAAAAAAACAAGTATCTGCTTTGAGGAAGCAAGAAGTGGAAACTGAAGTAGTAACTAGGAGGAACTGATGTCCAGAACAAAGGCAGGAGAATAAAGCAGTGGTGAGATTTGGATGGGAGAATTCCCCGATGTAGTGGGCAAGGGAAGCAAGGAGAGGGGGGAGCATTCACTGGAGAGCTGGCTGTGCGGCACAGCAGACAGGACTCAGACTGGTGTTGGACCAGAATGAAGCATTTCAGAAATAAGACAGAGTCTCCAGGCTATTTCTGTTCAGCCTTCAGCATGAGTTTTGCAATATGTGCACACAAAGTATCCCTGTGCTAGGTTTCATGACTTTAAAAATTCACAGCAAATTCTACTGTGAAATTTGAAAAATACACAAAATTTTGAAATCATGAGCAGACAAATGTTTTGAAATATAAGGTCAGTAACACTGAAAAAATCAATTTGTTCCTAAAATAAAGACCTTGTTACTGCTTCTCTGCATATACAACTTCAAAAAGTACTTATCGGCACCACACAGATAGTGAGAGACACGGGCTCTGAAGCCTCCTCTGCAGCCCTGATCCCTGTACCCAAATAGAATGTGCTGTGGCTCCTTTTAGCTTATATGGATGGTTTCCTTTCCATGGGAGCTGCTACTGCTCTGGGCTCCTGCCCAAATTCGAACTGAGCTTGGATTCCCCCCATAGACACAGAGGCATGGTGGCCACCTTGAGTTAAATAACTCATTCCAGAGGAAGGTAAGCCAATATAAAAACCTGAACTGCCTGATGCAACACTCAGTTCTTCCTCAAGGAGTTTGAAGGATGATCCAAACAGAAGCTTCTATTTAAAAGAAAACAAGAAAACAAACATGTATTTCTTAAAATTTAAAAAATGTAAACCACTGGTTTTGGCAGCAATCTGAGTCAACATTTTAGTAATCTGCTAAACACCTTGTCACAAAACTTCCCATTGATTAAGCGGAACAGATGCCTATTTTTTTTACTGTAGATTTATCTGGTCAGTGTTGTTTGCATCTGTAGTATATGCTTTCCTTTGTACCTATGCCTCTTGCAGCATAATATCCTGTAATCCCCCCATCCCCATTTCCCATTCACCTACTGTACTCCCCTACGAGGAGAGGTTGAGGGAACTGGGCTTGTTCAGCCTGAAGAAGAGAAGGCTGCGAGGGGACCTTATAAATGCATACAAATATCTGAAGGGTGGGTGTCAGGAGGATGGGGCCAAGCTCTTTTCAGCAGTGCCCAGTGACAGGACAAGGGGCAATGGGCACAAACTGAGGCACAGGAAGTTCCGTCTGAACATGAGGAGGAACTTCTTCCCTCTGAGGGTGACGGAGCACTGGAACAGGCTGCCCAGGGAGGTTGTGGAGTCTCCTTCTCTGGAGATATTCAAGACCCGCCTGGACAAGGTCCTGTGCCGCCTGCTGTAGGTGACCCTGCTTCGGCGGTGGGGTTGGACTAGATGACCCACAGAGGTCCCTTCCAACCCCTACTATTCTGTGACTCTGTGATTCTGTGATTTTTGTCTCTTATTCTGCACTGGGGAAAGTCAGAGGTGACAGTGGGAAACTAGTGTAAGTTACTTATCCATGGTCCCCCAGAACTGTCAGCACTCCACTTATTCCCACTACTTTTCTTTCCCCCAGCTCTTTTCTGCCTCTGGTCTGCATCTGCATTCAGTTCCACTGAGCAAGAGGAATCTGCATGCGTAAAGATCCCACCACCTTCTACACGCTCCCAAATCTTGGGCCAGATCCATCCGAATCTTGTAGAAACCAGCTCTTTTACAAACCTGTTACAGGAATGGTCTAGTTTTTCTGCATAAAGTTTTAAACAAAGACACATCCACTGCAATCCAAATTGGAGGACAAGGTTTGTGAAATTGAAAGAGGCACAAAGAACAAACTGGCATGATTCATTTGTATTGTTCTGTTTGAAAGGAATATAAATACTGAACAAAGCAAAAGCGACAGAAATAATTTGTAAAATCAACTATACTTAGCATTTTCTTAAGATATTTCATAGTACATTCTTAACACTGCAAAATAACCTGCAATTGCTAATACCTCCTAAGTTAAATACTATTTCTTTTTCATCTCTCTCTTTTTTTTTAAACATACTCCTGAACACTGGTGTGCGTGTTGAAGTTCATAGCCAGTGGAACAGCTGCTGTGTTTTTATCTTAGCAAGTATGAATGTATCAGTGGCATACACCCTTTCAGAAACTAAAGAAGCTGTAGGAGATATCCTGATTCAAGTTCAACTCACAGCTTGGCTTTGACCCACCAAAGCCTTTATTCAGACCAGAAAACCAGCTCTTTTACAAACCTGTTACAGGAATGGTCTAGTTTTTCTGCATAAAGTTTTAAACAAAGACACATCCACTGCAATCCAAATTGGAGGACAAGGTTTGTGAAGGTTACTCTGTGCTATTAATGTTCATGCAGCATAGTATTTTACTGCTAACATTAAAAGAGATTAATTTTTTCATTTCTTCTCTCCAAGCTTCATTCTGATTTCGAAATAACTCCTACTTTCAGCAAAAAGGAGAAAAAATAGGTCATCTGCAATGATATCTCGATAGAGACATGACAGACTACACTCTTCACTTTGTGGGAAAGCCTTAGAGACCTGTTGTTTGAGCTCACTGGTTCACTGGTATCAGCACAGGTAAGCAGAATTCATAGGAGGTCAAATTCATAGGAGAAGTGAGCACTGTATGCTGTGACCTGCCCTACAACATGACCAACACTGAACGTCAAGGTCTTGGTCATGCCAATAAAACACAGCTCATTCTTCAGAATGTCTCTGCATACGAAGGATAGTTTCTGGCCATCAACTTCAACTACTCCTAAGCCCAGACCTATGAAACATCCTTCACAGATGCCAAGAGCCATGGCTGCATCATAAGAAGTAGATGTTGTGCAGAGCTCAAGAAGAGTCTTTGAGTGAACTTTAAGTTGAGCAGGTTCTGAGCCGTGTAAAGTACCATGACTACTCCTGTTAAATCCAGCATATTGCATTTCAGTAGGAAAATCAGAAATCACAAGAGAAACCATTTCCTGACTCTGAACAGGGGCATCAGACAGCATATAGGTATTTGAGCAACAACGTCCTCACCTGTTAAACACTGTTAGCCAAACTCTATATACCGACATGGAATATATTGAGGTAAAAGCCAGTATTAACAGTTGCTAAACATTTGTAAAAAAATTACATAAATATTTACCTTTTGTGGAAGAGTTAAAAGTCTCTTGTTCTTCAATGAATTAAATGCACGGAATGATGAAAACAGAAAAAGAAATCAGCAAATTTAAAGTTAGATAAAGAAATGTGTTACATGTGACAATGGCAGGTACAGTAGGCAGTACTCCAGCATATGTAAAAAGTAATGTAGAAAACTAAAATGATAAACCATGACAAATAATAAAGCCTATGACTTTTTCTTTAAAATTAACAGGAACAATGAAGTTACTGAGATCCAGATTGTGGGCTCTTTAAGTATTGCTCTCGAGCAGTATTGTCATACCCAAATTTACGAATGACAAAAATCTTAAAATTGCTTGAAGTATCACTCTCACTTCTGAACCACGTAGCCCTGTTTTAGATTCTGAAGCCTTTTCTGCAATAACGAGTGTTACGAATTTATTTTCTATTAACTGAAATCTATAATACTCAGTAACCACTGGACTATTGAAAATCAGTCTTTAAGGAAAACATGAAAGATTATGAGGCTTGAACTCATTTGCAAGAGTTAGCAATGCCGAGAAAAAATACTCTCCAGCGTGAGTAAAGATTCCACAAGCTGCCTCAAAATATGCAGTGCCACCCAATTATTTCAGACTAAAACCAAAATATGAAGACAAAACAAACAATGCTAAAGGACTAAAATCTAAAATTGAATGGACTTTTTCTATTTCTTTTGCCACTCCAGTTTTATGCTGATGGAACTGAACAAAGGTTTTAACTGAAAGGGTTTGACTTTTTACCATTACTCAAGCCATGCTCTCACTGCAATGACATTTCAATGATCAAGTACATATACACAGAATGGTTTTCATTAGCTGTTCATTTTTTTTTAGGATCTTAAATTGGTTAAACATAAAAAGATATTTGCAACTCGAATGTATTATGTGACAACATACCTATCTTCTGTATGAAATTCTGATTCTTATTTGTTAAAAGGAAACACTGGACATCAAAACACTTTGTTCCTCTATGATGTAACTACCATTAAAGACTTGTATATATATTTATACTTATACATACATTTATTTAAGTAATCCCCGCTCAGTACCAGTTGTCTTCAATATAGTTTTCCCTTGTGAAACAGCAGCACACACTCACTCATGCGCTTCACCCTGCATACAAACTGTGTACAAAGCTTATGCAGCTTATTCTGCCAGCTCAGACACAGCAATACTTCCCGCTAGTCGCACTTTTGCTCTTCTAAAGGTCACTGCATAAGGCCTATTGCCATAAGCAGATGCCACTAGAAACACAACTACACTAGTTCAGTTGTCTTTACAGATGCTCTTTATACGTAAATAGGCCGCTGATTATGACAAACTTTACTCTCATTACAGCACTTCTGAAACATGAAACCACATTGTTGAGGCTATGAAAAAGACATCATGCTGTGAAGAGCCAAATAGAAGCAGATAGAGGGAGAAAGACCTGTTTTGCATGAATTACCTCTTATTGTTTCTACACTACAAACAATCATCGCGCATTTATCTTGCTGGTTCATATATTTCAGTAGTACATAACATGTTTTTTTTCTTGTTCATTTGCTAGATTTCCTAATATCATCCCTAATTTTACCTAATGCAGCTAAAAAGGAGTGTGGAAAAATGCTACAGATCTTCAGACTGTATTCATTTCCTTGATCAATACAATGATGACCATTATACAAAAGCGTAGAGACCCACTCTCAAACCCTATTCAGGCTAGAATTCCTGTGACATTTGATAGTTGCAATGACAGAGGATGGACTGAGTAAAGATTGCAGAAATATGCTTTATAAAAATATATAAAAACCATGCAACTACATAACAAAGTTGTCATAGAAAGAGCTGAAAAACAAAGTCAACACAGAATTCCCACCCCTCTTAATGATTTGCACAGCTCCACCCAAACATGATGCAAACAAAAAAAACCACCAATGCAAGTCTCTTGCAGCTGGGCACAGGATGACATACTGAGAACACAATATTGTCCTTACCATGGCTTAGAATTTCACTGCTTTAGTCACTGAGCCAAAATATCTTCATAATATTAGGTCCTTTTATAAAATTATCAGTTAATAGAAAGAAATAAAAAAAGCTAAGTAGCTTAAGTTTGGGTAATGACTACTAAATTGTGACTTTCTGAAAACACATACAGACACATCTACACCAGACTAACTTCCAATACTCAAGCATCTCAAGACCTTTAGTTGCAATAACATCCCAGTATGTCTTGCACTCTAGGAAATACTGCTGACAGGGTTGTGAAAGAAAGAAATATACCCATGTCTTCCGTGAATGTCACTGGGATTAAAATAGAAATCACATTGCCTAAAAATAACAGAAGCCTACAATCTTAAGGGTAACCACTTTAAAAAGTCTGCATGTACTGGAATTGCTAAAAATATTTAGTGCAGACTGTTTCAAGTGAAAGTAACTACCTCCCTCCCCCGCTCCAAAACTAGGCAAAGATACTGTCCTTTTTAGAATATAATCACGAAGAAGTCTTTTTTTTTTTGGCTAGTGTGCAGAATTATATTGATTTGAAGTTTTAGACCCTAAACTGGGCTTTTGCCTCTACATTTAAGATTTTCTCTGTTCCTGTTCATTAGTACCAACACCATTTCTGTAATGGAACAGGGACCACTACTTTCATCTCCTCTAAGAATTACTTCTATAAGATTTTTTTTTTTAAGAGTGTGTGTCTACTAAAAAAGATCTTTTTAACTACCGTATTTTCCCACAAGTTGACTTTTTATGATTCTCAAACTGTCAGCCAGAGCAGTAACTAAATTAGCATCATCTGGAAGAGACAAGGAAACCACCGTTTTTTAGTTCTAAACCTGACAATGACAAAATGGAATGTCTGAGATGCAATGTCAGTCCTAGAAGCAGCCTTACTAGCATGTATATGATCATTTACAATTGAAAGCTAAAGATTAAAGACCGAGAGTTAAAATCTCATCTAAGATTAAAATATCACTGTTTCTTGAGCTGAAAACCACTACCAATCTCTTGCTCCTTGATTAATTCTCATTTTTTCCAAAATGAGAGCTTTAAAAAGCAGTAAAATTGGTTTACTGGATTCTCCTATGCCTCCTGAATATGCAAACAGCAAATAAAAACCCTGCTCTTAATATACAGACATTCAGTCTTTTTACAGCAATTACTTTGATTTGTAAAACAGAATCATAGATATACATATTTAGATGTGTATTCAACCCTCTTGACACAACAGGATTCGTATAGTTGTAAAGAAGTCCTCTACTATAAAAATCATAAGTTATGGTATATCGCACAGCAGTTCCTTGAAACACTGGATGTCAATACTGAATGTCAAAAAGTAGCTTTATTCATAAACAAAGAAAATGCAAATAATTTTAAAATTATCCTTATAGCATTTGTATATTACACTAGAGTTTGACATCATCCATATCCATTGTGACTGTGAATTTAAATCATTACGGACAAAACTGAGTTCCAAGTACAGTTAATGGAAATCTTTTTTTCAGACCTCAGTATGCTTTGGATTCAACCCTGCATTAGGGTCAGGTCACTTCTAGCCACTCCATTTGACCCTGATACTCATTTGACAGCGGTTAAAGAGGTGAAACCAATATTAAGAATTGATACTGATCAGAGCAAATAGTACAGTTTTTTATAGCCTCACTGAAATTAATTTGTTACAGTAGTATAAAGTTTATACATGCTATCATATTTATTCAGGAAGATACTGACAAAACCATTTAAAAGTATTTTATAAAATCTATTCAATTCTCAGCTTGAACAAAGTGTAAACATGGGTAAAATCAGAAAACCTCCCTTTCAGAAGGACAAGTCAGTCACTTAGACAAAACCAAAGTACTATGTAGAGAAGGAAATCTCTTTAGCCTTTGATTCCATGTGCCATAATACAGCAATATTGACACAAGCAGTACGATACATAACAAATGATATGTCACATCCTATTTGTACATTTTATACATAAGACGCAAGCATATCAACCACAAGTGTAAATAAGACTTCAGTGAAACCGCATTGCTTTACAGATGTTGTATCAACAACTTTCTAAACCTAGAGTAGTTTTAGCCTTCTGCTCAACTTTTTTTTTTTTCTTTTCTTCTTCTGTATACATCCCATCTCTACTCAATTTCATGGCAAGTTATACGTTAATTTCTAACGTCTTTAACAAAACAAACTAGTATTTTATTGTCAACATACCAGCAGAAAGATGATAGATGAATACCCAAAGGAAAGCCAACTTAAATTAAAAGCTGATTCATCATTATATATTGCACCAAGTTCTGAAATTGCAGAAGAAACATGAAAGGAATTTGAAATTTATTACTCCTTGCATTTGCCTAAAAAGCTCACAACTTACTAATGGGCAGAAATAGAAGCTGTAAATGTAGTTTGTAACTAGTTTATAATCCAGACAGTTCTAGATTCACTACAAAACAAAATGAGAGGACTCAAATGTAAAGTTTAAAAAGAATAAAACCCACTTGTATTAGTATATCAATCATTCAGAATAAACACATGTATAAAACAAAAATACTTTTATATGTGTTAATGGAAGGTGTAGAATGCCATCACAGCTCAAAGCCATAAAATTAATGCAAGCTGACTGCATGTTAACGTAAGCCATCATACAAAAAAACCCCTATAGTAATCTCTCATGATAAGAAGGTCACAGTCAGCAATATTCTCTATCCAAGAAAGCGGTCTGCCAACGGTTCTATAAAGCCCTATAATATTCCATTACTAGAAGCATTTCTTTAACTTCCACATAGAAGAAAACCTTGTGGTACATGACAATCTCAGTTGTTGCTTGCAGTCAACGAGAAAACAGGCTTTTTAAACAAAGTAAACCTGAATGTGCAAATATTATCCATTTGACATTTCATTTTACCATAATAGCTCATACTCTGTGTGCAGTATGTTGCTGGAAAACGAACAGCAATATTCATGTTTATTTGATATAAGTATGTAAAATACATCTTCCACAACCATTAGGTCTACATTGTCATTTTCAGAAAAGAGCAGCACTCTTTGCCTGATCAGTTTATTCTCAAGAAAAAGCTGAAGACCTGTGCTTTCACATTTCCCATGGCGATCTTTTTCAGTCTTTACTCACTGAACTATGAACTCCAGAAGAAAAACAGATTTCTGGTATTTATTATTGAACTATGTTCACAATGCACAACAATTAATATAAGCCACAAAATAAGAAATGAGTAAGACTATCAAAGTGTTTTCAAAATCTTTGCCCTTGATTTCTTTAGCTGAATACAAACCAGATGTGCTGGAAACTACAACTCCAACAGAAATTTTAAAGCAGACAAACATAAAAAGGTACTAGAAAATTAAGGCAATTTAACCATGTGTAATAATCCACTGGTCAAACTCTACTAGATTTCCCAGACTACAAACACGCTTTCGTTCTCTCCTGTTACTTTATTGGTAGAATTATAGCATTGAACACTTAGTTATGAAAGTAGACTTTAAGTAGAGAAAGGTAAGAAATCAAAGAGTTTGAGCTGTCATAAGCTCATTATTTGATACCTTGCTCTATACTGCCACTTCTTACTGGAACTTGTGGTAGCTGTCTTCCCCTGCGACTGCTGAAGGATGTGTCCGCAGGAGGAGACTGGGTGGGACTTCCTTGTTGGTGTATTCTGCAAATGAAATGAAGATAAAAGTAAAATAACCCAAATGAAAAGAATTTTTGTATTCTGAATTTTAAACACCTATTAAGTTGCATACACTGAGAATGGGTAGTTCGTATTTGGTGTATGCCATATGCACATACTCAGGTCTAGATACCAAGTAAGCTTATAATGCTTCACTTTTAATTTCTCTAACTACCTTTAACTAAGGAGAAATATTTTCCTGTTTTGTTGTTTCGTTGATTGTTTGTTTTTTTGTTTTTTTGTTTTTTTTTAATAAAGTACTAGTCAAAAACCATGGAATGAAAAGCAGTTTTCTAAGAACCATTTATGATTATGACTCAATTTATGTACATTCTCCTGCACTGGTACAAGGGCAATACAAAATGCCACCTTTATATTGTATTAACTTTTGTATTACCTTTGTGCTGGTGCAATAATTGCAAAAGGCCATAGAGAATGGAAGAGCAAGTATCTGTTCCCACAGGATAACATGTTGCTTTTCCCTGAACTCAGAGAAGGAAGACAACCTTTAACCTTGGTATTGGGGGCGTGCATGTGCACACGCACAAAAAATGTACAAGATTTTTAATATTCTTAACTAAGTATCCTAAATCTCTTTGGCTGAATTCTAGATAGTACTATCTCATAGCAGCTTGGCTACTTGATTTCTTACGCATAGATACAGCATCTGAGTGTAACACATCAAACACCTTTGGTACTCTAGTAAGTTTGCATTTAAAATAAGTAGGGCCACTTCTAATAACTAGGGAAAAAGTTTAAGAAAGTAAAACAAAGATGGGAAGTTAAACGCTCTTGCCAGTTACAGTAATATCACACTCACTATGGCAGACAAGCACTGTTTATCTATTACATTAAGGTTGCAGGCAGATAATTTGCAACTTTAAGTAACACATTTGTGCAAGTTCAAAATACCATTGGCTTTCACACTACAGAGAGCTGACTTTCTCTTAGCCTATAAGATCAGAATTAGCTGTGTGAACCGCACATGATTTCCTGCACAGTATTTAAGCAAAATACTTTGATAATTTTTATATGGATACAGAACAAAACACAATGATGGAAGGACAAAACACAGTCAATTTTTTACTCTTACATTGCATAACTACTGAAGTTCAACAGCAAGAAGTACCATCTGGATGGTGAAGATAGGTGGTGCAAAGGATATGGGAGAAGTGTAAATACCATGAAGAGAAGATAATCTACAGTGCCAGAATGAGTGAACGCGCCATGTATGCTTGGGAAAGCACAACACCACACTGACACCTGGGAGGCAGAACATGAAAGCTGTGCTGTACACATAATAGCAACCTTGTCAGAAGTGGAGAAGGTGGAGCCGACCCTCCGGGCGCTAGGTGATGTACAGAGCATAAGGGTCTGATATTAGAGTGCTCGCTCGACCTTGAGCGAGCGTGATGTTTTCCCCTAATGACTGGTTGTTCAGTCGTTCGTGGGGTTGGAAGTCCCCTTCTAGAAAGACATGGTGGCAGACCCCTAAAACATCAGGGCCAAAAAGAAACTGTTCAGTTGTTAGCTCCAGGCACACCTTCCCATGCCCCCCTCCACCAAAGAACATTGCAAATCCTGGCTGCAGGACCAGGGTTGACATTTCAGATCAAAGTTATAATTCTGAATGCAAATCCATTTTCAAAATGATGAACTGTAGAATGCTCACCACTGCAGATACACGTGACCCTAATTGTGGAACTGTTGAACTGCACTGCATATAGTGGACAGCTGGCCAAAAACTCTAGCTACATGTTAAAGTCAGCAAACACAAGCTAACAAGACGTATGACAGAAGTACTAGCACTGAGTAGGCTATGAATACCTAGTTTCACCACAAAGGATTTCTGTTTTAAAACACAGCTTTTATCTTTATTAAAAATATTAACTGGATTTCAATTAGCATCTTAAAAAGGATGATATATAAGCATGTATATAATTCCCTTGGTTTCCTTATGAGTTTGAAACAAGGAATCTATTTAAGTATCCATCTGCTGTAAGCCCTAAAACAGAAACACAGTTCTGAAGGAACTCTAATGAAAATATAATTAGAATATGCAGTAAAATGAATGTGTTAGCATAATAAAGCATAATTATTAGGAGTTTAATAATTGCATACACTGGAAGTGTAAGGTAACCTGAAATGTTTCAAGCTTGCAGAGTGACAGAGTACTCTAATGGTGCCTCTTTACTCTTCCCTGGTTTCCCAACAGTGCAGCATTTTGTACATGCTACTACTGTATCTTCTGTAATTTCAGAAATTTCAGTTTCCTGTGTCATCATTTCATTGTGGGCTTTTTGTTTTTTGGGGTTTTTTTTGTTTGGTTTTTTTTGTTTTAATTTCTGCAGACTTACGAAGTCTCTCTTCACACAGCCAGCACAACTTTCCCACGAGATATAGCCAAAGTAATCAAGGGACTATCTAGTTCATATGACTATCTGACACCGAAAAGTCATCCTAAAAACCAAAAGTTAAAAACCATATGAGATAACACGCAGATGCCTACCACAGATAACAGGTTTGGTTTCAAACGTATTCCGTCAGTAACAGTTTATATGGAAGTCCAGTCACAATGCAACAAAACTAGGATCCTGTTGCCCTTGCTATATTCTCTCTCTCAGATCCTAATGCTTCTTTAGCTTGACTCCTGGCTTGCCCTGGTGATAACCAAAACATTCTTGCAGAGACTGATTCCCCTTATTATAATAGATGCTTACCATAACGAAGGTGAGCTGAGTTCTGAAAATGTCTGTTTCTCCATGCTGACCGTAAAAGTAATCCACACCAACTATTGCATGCAACCACCTTTTAAGCATCTGGTTTATCAGATGTTTAAACACCATAATATCCATAAGGTAAATATCAATGCCACTCTGCACCAGAAAGTGATTGCTTTTACTATGAATGAATGCTCCACTCTAAGTCATCATGTTCTCAGTTCTGAATTTTCTCATTTTAGAAGCTAAATATCCTGGAATTTATCCGAGATCCCAGTGCAGCACTACGAGAGTCTTGTCTTGACATTACAGAACAGACACTTTACCTGAGACTCAGAAACTTAACTCCTTCGCTTTCAGTAATACCTTTTTTTACGGACCTGTCCCCTTCCACTAGAGAAAGATGGAGGGTCTGCTTAACTAAAATGAAGACATATTAGGCTTAAGATTTACACTAGCTGTGGTATTACATTGAGGCAAATGTGCTACTGTGGGTGCAAATGAAATCAGAGCTAAAAGGGAACTGGTGAAAAACTAGAATGGAATTAAGGACTTGCTGGCCTAGAAGAAAGGTCATTTGCTGATAGGAAGAAGTCTGCAAACGGCTGATCAGGAGCATGAGACAAAAGGGACAAGCATGGGAGACAAAAGCTAGGGTATGACTGAGGAAACAAGACAGACATGAGATAAGTATGGAGAGGAGAGGAATTTGGGAGAGAAATGACACCTGGTGAGCAATGAGACTGCAACAAGCACATACATATGTATCTCATCTCCTGGTTCCTCACAGAGAAAGGTAACGATGCAAGCAGTGAATCTATTAATTCATCAGTGGCCTACAGGGAAATCCTACAGGTTCCAGCTCTGCCCGCACCCAAATTCCTTCCTCTTCAGACTGATGCCTCAGTGGCATGGACTAAATAAAACATGCTGCCACTTATGGAATTATAAAGAAAAACTATTAATAAGAGAGTATCACCAACCCAGCACACCCCGGCACAGGGTCCTATGGAAAACATAGCAAGGACAGTTAAAGACTGTATGCATCATAGACTATAGGACAGGTAACCTCAAATCTGGCATTTCTGGGCTGAGCAGTTAGGGCTGAAAGAAAACATTTTAGGATTGGGACGAACCAATTTTTACCACAATTTTGCTCATTCACACAAGCACAGAAAATGTTTGATTTTCATGTAATCAGTTTTACTCCTTCAGAAGTGCTTACTGAATCCCATCTTGAAGGCTTATGTAATTGAATTAGTAAGAGAACTGTTAGGTTCTAAATTATCCTGAAAAGGTTTGCTTTCGCCCTTTTATGTACATTTCCTAAGTTATCACAATACATAGAGAACTTCATCTTGCACAGCATATTGCAAGGCTTTATAGAGAAGCTGACAGCATGCTGATATCTTATTCCAATAATCTGCTTAGCTAATAGTAGACAAGATGTGCAAATTGCTAAATAAAGACCAAATAAGACAGAAATGGATATTTGAGGAAGAAAGAGTCTTGAGTTATATTTTCCATTTGAAAAGAAAATTAATTGCCTGTCCTACTATCAAAACTTTCTGGCACTAGTGCAACATTCTATCTATGATGAAATATCTAAACTGCAGCACTCAGACTTATTTAGACATTTGTGTCTCACATCTAATAGCAGTGAACCATTTTATGGAAACAGAAGCCTACACCATGTGCCATGGAGCTGTAAAAAGCAGCAGCAGTACAATTCATGTTTCGCTATGCTCTTATTGCACTGGGTTCAAGCTCTTAAAATAGTTAGAAATCAGAACTGGCTTTTGTTGTCTGGAATGTAAAAACATAGCTAAGGGGACTCATACTATTGGTAACTTTGTTAACTTCAGGGGAAAAAACAAAACATCAGAGTGATATTTTTTTTTTCAGTTTTCCTAATCACCTGTGAAAAGCAACTTCATATTGCCTTAAAAGAACATCCCCCCCCCAACACCTTCCCCTCGCCCCCCCAACCACAAGCACTAGGTAGTGCCTATAATCATTACCTGGGAATGTATCAAGGCCATATTTGTCTCAGCACAGCAATGACTAAAGTATCAACTTTCAATCCACTAAATCCCATATAAATTCTGCATATAGACACCGTAGCAATGTTTCACAGGGGCCTCCAGACTCACATTTTCTCCTATACGTGAATAAATCCTCAATTGTAGGTTACAAGCAGCTTTGAAATGTCCAGGGAAAAAAAAAAGTCTCAAAATTTCCAACCTGGACTGGCCATTTCAAGCAGAAAAACACACTGCCTCAGAGAGGCTTCTTCATAAATATAACTGCACACATGTCCTTAGAGATGGAACCCATATGCTGCTGATGTATTCAGCATAACACCTCAATCACAGTCCCTGCAAATCAGTTTCCATATCATCTACAATATCTGAAATTCTAAGCATTTCAATATTGTGATTTACATTTTCTATATATTAAGCTTAGTGTAAAACACTAATTGGTGTAAACAGGACTTCAGGGGACTGGGGAGATTGGTTCAAGGATTAGGGGCACAGGTGGTGTCTTCCTCCATCCCATCAGTGGCAAGGAAGAACACTGAAAGGGACAGGAAAACTCCCACGATCGACATGCGGCTCAGAGGCTGGATCCATCAGTGGAGTTTTTTTGATCATGGAGAGGTTTACACAGCACTGGGCCTGCTGGTGACAGATGTAGTCCAGCTGTCTCAAAGGGGGGAAAAGGATTCTTGCACTTGAGCTGGCGGGGCGCATCGAGAGGGCTTTAAACTAGATTTGAAGAGGGAGGGGGATATAACCAGGCTCACTAGAGATGAGCCTAGGGGTGGCATGCCAATGTTGGGGGTGAAATCAATAGCCCAGCTCAGTGCATCTACACCAATGCAAGCAGCATGGGCAACAAACAGTTTTGGGCCCCTCACTACAAGAAGGACACTGAGGTGCTGGAGCGTGTCCAGAGAAGGGCAAGGAGGCTGGTGAAGGGTCTAGAGAACAAGTGTTGTGAGAGGCAGCTGAGGGTACTGGGGTTGTTTAGTCTGGAGAAGAGGAGGCTGAGGGGAGACCTTATTGCTCTCTGCAACTAAATGGAAGGAGGTTGTAGTGAGACAGGTGTCGGTCTCTTCTCCCAAGTAACCAGCAATAGGACGAGAGGAAATGGCCTCGAGTTGCATCAGGGAAGGTTTAGACTGGATATCAGGAAAAATTACTTTACTGAAAGAGTGGTCAGGCGTCAGATTAGGCTGCCCAGGGAAGTGGTGGAGTCACCATCCCTGGAGGTGTTCAAAAAATGTGTAGATATGGCACACTGGGATACGGTTTAGCAGACATGTGGTGATGGGCTGATGGTTGGACTTGATGATCTTAGAGGTCTTTTCCAACCTTAATGATTCTGTGATTCTGTGAAATGTTTTTGATCTATGCAGTGATCTTAACATCTGTAAAAGAAAGATGCCCTCATTTCACACACAGAAATACCGTTTGAAATGTAAACACCTATACAGACACACTGATTTGTTTAATTAGAAGTGTTGTGGGATTTCCTTTTGCGCTTCACTCTCTCTCTCTTTGCTCTGCCCTTTTGCCATCAGAATCTCTTATATTTTCTTTTTCTTCTCCTTTCTGTTGCCATACTTTCTAGTTACGTTTATGTTCTTATTTTTTCCCCTGCCATTTACTTCATATCTCTTTCTCACTTTATCATCTCAGTTTTGTGACAAGCTTTCTAACCATATAGTCTGAATGGTTATCAAGCACCATGAGCCTCTTGGACCCCAGTGCCAGCGGCTCCCCCTACTCTTCAGAAGTTAGAAAAAAATGGGGGGAAAATGGTTTTAGTGATCTCAATGGCAACACTGTCCCTGATTTAAACACAGCTAGGATTTCAGCCATCATCTAGGTAATTTCTCTGAAATTACCTGAAAAATTAGTCTGAAAAAGCAATTGGACTGTTGTGACAGCAGAATCATCAAAACGAAGAAAAATGTAACCATTGCTTCTGGATCAGAAACAAGAATCTGGGACTTGAAGCAGTGAAATAAAATAAAAGCCCTGAAGTTTTGCTACATAATGTGCATTCTCACTGAAAATAAAAACTTGTCTGTGTTATTCACGGAATTTTTTCAACCCTCACAATGTAAACAGATGTATGTTGCTCCTCTGTCAATCAAGATAACATCAATCTGTTTCTGAAAAAGGCAGGATCTCACCCCTCCTCATTGCTCTTATTTCAGCCAATAGACAGCATTTAATACTTAACTAGATGTACTTATGATTTAGTATTTATCTTTTTTTTTTTTACTTTTTCTTAAGAATTTGAACCCTATACTACTGTAGCATCATAGCTAAAAGTTACAATTATAATAAAAGTACAGGAAACTTCAATGGTTAAAATCCCAATGTTGATATTAACTTTATGTAATGATAGATTATAAAATTTTCTATACACATTTAAATGTGTAACTTAATATTTTTATATTATACAGTGAAATTAATTTGATCAGAGATGTTTTGAATTGTTAATCTGTTAATACATTTTTTACATCCTCAAAATCATTGCAAAATAGACGAGATTTTTTGAAAAGAGATCAGTCATAACGCACAGAAAAGACTTCGTGCCATAATAATAAAACATGCTACGCATTTCCAAATTTCATCTTAGGGATCAAGATAGTGGCTATGGGTTTCAGATTTTGGCTCACAAAATGGACAGACTGCTAGTTTTTACCATTGAGTTTATCTGCAATGATGTAGAATGCCAGAAAAAATACGTATGTATGCAACACAGTAAGTAGTGTCAATAATATAGATACAAAGTAAATAATAGTGTAGATTAGGACAACATAGCTTTTGGTACTGTCACAGATGTTCTATTTTAAAAGTCGTATCAGAGATATATTCCAAACACTGGAATCAGATTGGTTATAACAGATGTTTATTCATCAATCAGCAATCCTACCTTTCTGTTTCAGTTGTGGAGCCTTTCCTAGCTTGTTTTTGGCTGCTATATCTTTCCACTTTTCTGGACTGCCTGTGAAATGACATGTCAGAAAATAAATAAATAAAGAAAAAGAATACAGAAATATGAAGATTATTTATTAACGTATTATAAAGGTAATCATAGAAATGGTTGACAGATGAAAAAGTGACAACTATCATCATGAACAGGCTGGTGAACTCAAGGTTTAAGACACATGGTCCTGAATAGGTTTGATTGAGCCTGATGGTGTGAAAGTCATGAGGTACAAAAACAGTGGAGATGATAACATTAATCCTGACCAGACCTGCGGCTAGTTCCCACTTCACATTCTGTATTTGATTAGAAACAATGCCTCCTAATAGGCCATTTGGCCTTCTCTTAACAGAATGAAAAGCAAACGCAGAGTAGACAGCAGGAAAAAAAAATATTGCAGGAAAGACCAGAAAATACTATTGAAACATGAACTCTAAAAATTGCTTTTAAATCTAAATTTCAAAAGCAAAACAAATGCTGCATCATATTAGATTTAAATAATGCTGTCGCTATATTAACAAAAACTTGGCTTTTCAAAACTCTCATTGTATTAAAACCTGTTAAGGTTTTTTAAAACTAGTTTAGAACATTTTTTTTTTGATAGTCAATATAAATAAGTTAGAAGTTTGTTCCACTGCTTCACTCTTTTCCCCACATAAACCTTTTACAGAATTCACCTGACATTTGGATAGCGAGGCACTAGTTACCTCTGACAACCTAAGCATTTACTTTGAAGGTAAATAAGAACAATGAACAGTAATGTAAGTCAATAAATATAAGAACGAAGGTAAAGAAGCATGTTTCATCATTATGGCCCAAGACTATAAATATACTACAAAAGTGTCTGCAAGTCTTGTGTGTTCCAAAATTTCCATTAGTATCCATAGTAATGTGAGCATTTAAAAATTAGGATTTATAATTTTAAAGCTCTGATAATCATCAATATATATCAGTGTTTTAGAATAAAAAGTGCAGACAGTATTTCAGGAATGGTCAAGAACAGGGAGCGAAGATTATTCATTGATACTCCAGAAATGTTGACAAATCCTAACTTGCACCTTACACCGGTGCAAAAAAAATTTACAGGAACTTGCAAGAAAATTATCTATCTTATATATTTAACTATAAAAGAATTACTGTGGGCAAAACAGATAAAAATAATATTTTAAAAAATATTTTCCTTTTAAACCTTTGTGGAAGAGTAATCCAGTGTCTGAACTGTAAGACACCTAAACAGCTGTAACACCAAATTATACCCAAAGAACTTAATCACAGTGGATGTTCATTATTTGTACCCACTGCAATATTTGATGAGCATTATATTGTGACGCAGTATGCTCCAGAAAAAACAAAATACTGCAGCAAAATACAAAATGCTTTTTGCATGAGCAGAGCTCATTACCTGATGCTTTCTGGGTTTTAAAAGAATATGTTTTTAGCCAAAACTAGTATCTTGGATTAAAAATTAAAATCCTCTTTGTCCTCAAACTATTTTCTCTAAATTTATTTTTGTATATTCTCATTACTTTTTAATTTTTTTCCTTACCACGACAAATACAAGGTGTATACATAGGGAAACATATTAAACACTGCAGCTTTACTTAAAACTTAAGGTTAGTAAAGTATTTCAAGTTATGATTACATCCCCTGAATACAGTAGCATTATCACTCAGGTGACGTCACCCTCTTCATTATCTGTTTGGCTGGTTACAGTGCTCATTTTCCTCTTACTTCTTTTGTCACTTGCTTAGACTGTGACATTATGCAAAGCAGAAAAAGAGCAGATAGTGACTACTCTTTGTAGGATGGAAAAGCTGAGAGCAGGAAATGCTTTCCTGTGACAAATGACAAAGTAATATATAGCACTAGTGAGCTGAATATACTTATTTCTCTGCTATCTGTGCTGTCTTTACCAGCTGCACACATTAGAAATACATTTAAAATCACAATTTCTTTTGTTTCCTTCCTCTTGCTAAGATGATGCAGTATACAATTCCATATAGCTCAACAGCCTACTACAGCATTTGCAGTCCTGGCACAGCCTGAGCACACTGCAGGCACTGGCAGGTACATATTTACAGGTAGGCATCCTTTCATGCCTGTATACAATGTATGCAGAGTGCACTGGGGATAACACTCATGTCATACTCAAATTTACTTCTTAAATGTACTTTATAGGGGATTAAATACTGTTTACAAACAATACATGCATATATGTCCTTATATATAAAGAGAAAAAAAACTAAATATGTGAAAGTATTATGCAGAGCATAAGAAGAATATACTATAACCAACACCTCATTCACTTGGAACTACGATTTGAGTAAAGAAGGATACCTCTGTGCTGCTCCAGGTTTAGCACTTAGGTGGTCTACACTGTCCTGTTTTGGAATGCATGACTCCAGCGTCCTTGTTCTTCACATAGTTTGGAAACATGGATGTGAATTTGGACAGAATGAGCAGAAACGGAGAGATGGTCACATGCAGCGAAGGTGGAGACATGCGGTCAAATACATAAACCAAAAGCATTAAGGCACTATCTGCTGAGAAAGACTATATTTGTCATTTCCCCTTCCATTGTTTTAAACCATACACTTTAAGGAAATATTAAAAATTTTAGACATAATAGCAACAATCTAAGATACAATAAAATAAAGAATGAAAGCCACAACAATATTTTTTAAAAACCTCTATACTCCACGTGCTGAATGGCAGCACTGTGTCTTAATAGTTGCCATTATCCTTCCTGAGAATTAATCTAGTCTTGTTCATTAGATTAATATATAAACCTATATAGAACATCTTCTCTTAGGAATCTGAAAATGTGTATATCGCCACTATATCGTGAAATTCTCCTGAAAATGCAAGTAAATGTCATGATTTCACATATTGTGATGAAAACTTCATATTCTGTTGCCAGTCGGTCTGCTATAGTAATAATTAACTACTATTTCAATAGCAAAGTAGAATAACTGACTCAGCTTTTTTAAAAAAAATCAAAGTTCAGAATATTTCCTAATGTCTATGTTCTTTTCATTTTTGCTATAGCTGCTTAAGAGCCTCAGAATTTGTACACAGCTTTCAAATTGGCATAAATATTAGCTTGTTAGTTTATTATTACTTTTTTATGGAGTATATGGCAAAAAATTATTTTTTCCTGATGAGGTCTATCAATATAAGATATTTTTTCAAATATCTAATTTGGCTGTTAATAACAAAAGTCAGCAAAATCTGCAGCCTACTGATGATCTAGGGTATGTAATAAGTTTGCATCTATACCTGCATTATGGTGAGGAAATGCTAAAACTTCTCTTTAGGTCTTAAAGCTACTAAACTGCCACACCAAATCACTGATCAAAAAGGTCTTGTTACATATACAGACAAGGACTATATATATATAATTTAATATACAGACAAGCTATTCACAGTTCATGTTCCAAAGACCCGTGTGCCTTAAAATATTTTTCCTCTGTTGAGTGTAAACAAAATCTACACACAGAAATATTATAATATTGCTATAAAAATGAAGAATTACTATTCCTAAAGTGACAAAATAACACTTTAATAAAATTCAGTATCTAACATTTAAAATTTTTTACTACTGACTTGTACAAGACACCTCACAGTTTGCAGTGAGTCTGTTCATTTAAGTAGCGTTAAAGCCATCAAGAATGTCATGTTCAATAATTCCTGATTTTTCCTGAAGATTTCCGAAAGGCTGGATCTACATAGTATGTGAGCTGGGAGGTCACAACTATGCTGAAGTCTTGACATCTCCTCACACTCATTCCTAGCACCTTAATTCATGTCTCACAAAACTGCCTCCTTCATCAAGTCACATAGTGCTGCTGGAAAGATGGGAAAGGATCATACAGGCCAAATCAGTCTGTCACTGGCAGTGCACGGCACACCTCAAGTTCCCTTTGTGAAAGCACCAGAAGGGTGCTTGCTCCACCGCTGGTTTCAGGATGACTCGTGGACAAGCATTCTTACAGATGCATGTCTGACCTCCAAAAACTACTCTTAACTGAAAGCATATGACAGTTAGTTTTTTAAAAGGCTTATTTTATCCAGTCTCGGTTATATGCTGAAATTATATGCAGACTTCTCAAAAAGAACAGTCTGAACACAGTCCCCACCTATTATTAAATGCTCAACTTTGATTCTCCTTGTTTTTATCATCACTTACAATTTCACAATTTTGCAGTTGTCCGGTTACCAGAAAGTCTTTCACCTTAGACAGGCCTTCTAGTTCTAATTTCTAATATAAAATAAAAAAAAACTCCCAACAATGAAGCTGCCAAATTCAAAACAAAACCCATTCTTTAAAATTTCTTAAAGAAATACATTATACTAATCAAATACTTGTTAATTCTTAACACTGAAATAACATATAACCCACGTCTTCATCTTGTCAAGGTACATCAAGGAGCCACTTTTTCTGATACTCAGGTGAATGAATTCCACAATAACAGCATCTTGCCAAGACCTTTACTAAAATTTATATTATGAATCATTATCAATAATTACAATGTTGCAAACACTGGTTTTAAATAATCAAAATTAGAAATAATGCATTAAGTCATGTTTAAGAAATGTGTTCAGAAATAGATCTTCTTGATTGCACCCTATATGTAAATCAGGCCAATTTGTGAGTGTATTCCAGATTTATTTTAAAGACTAAGATGACATCTGTCAAAGTCAATCTGTGAAAATATGATTTGAAAGCAGTGATAAGCAGCTAGTTAGTTACCCCGCTGATCCATCAGACACTCATTCCCTGACACCCACTGCATCAGCTGTCAAATTGACACAAGCACATTATGAAAAAACATAAATTATAGAACTGAGTGTTGGCCAACTGTCAAAGCTATGGCAAATAATCAGAATGAATATAAACCTAACGAGTAGAATACAAAGGTAAAACATCTTTGATCACCTCACTGATAATCTCTCTACATCCACGGTGGGCTATTATTGTGTATTGGGCATGCAATGCAAAGAGCCCAGCGTTCTCCGAACTTCTCTTAATCTGGGAGGAAGGCCCTGGAACTGGGAGGCAGCAATCAGTCATCAGGACTGGGGTCAGCCTAAACTCCTTCTAGGTTCATCAATAACTGCACCGCTGGGATTTGGTGGCCAGATTACCTGCAAGACTTCCAGGCACCAGACGGCACCAATTTCACTAGGAAAATTCGACTGCTGTTTCTCCAACTCAAAATCTTTACCATAACAGATTTTACATCCTGCAGAGGGTTTCCTGGAATATGTTTGCTAGCAGGTATTAGATTATTTCAGTCTTTCTCTGCAAAACTTTGTCTGACATCGAAAGGCTTACAATTCTGCATTAAGAATGTCAGTATTTAAATGAAAAACTTATTTCACTGATATGTGATATAATTACAAATAATTTTAGTCACTTCAATGACAACAAGATTTTATCAAGTCTGTTCCACTGAAGTCAAAGACAGTCTTTCCATTTACTTGAAAAATGGGAAGTGAAATTACTTAAAAATGCCTAAAAGATACAAAGCGTATATATAAACTATTAATAGTTGTCCCATCAAGCGGATGTATTGGCAAAATTTCTGGAAATGTAGTATCTGTAAAGAGGGACAATTTTGAAATAAAGTTTCACAAATTTAATTTTATAATTCATAATACTGCCTTACCCAAATAAAAAAGAAATGCTATCCAAACACAATTACGCTCTTCCCACCTTGTATTATTGGAATATATCCAGTATCAAGCAAACAAGACAAATTACAGTACAAATATAAGCACTGTGGATAGATTTTAGCAGAAGGTAAGCACTAGAACTACAGTAACTGAGTTTTATCCGTATACCAGTCTTACAGTTTCAAGCACAACTTTCTAAGATTTTATACATACAGGGATTATTTACACAAACCACCTGCGTCCTGTCATTTATTGTAACACAAAAAATTTGAAGGAAAAACTTTGAATTTGCATCTCAACAGAAATTATAATGTCTCTCCAGATCTATCTGGAAAAAAAAACAAACTACTGCCAAAGCAATGGAATACCAAATCTGATTTGAACAGAAAGTTCATGACAAGAAAAAAACAAAAGTGATTCTATTAATCATAGGTGATATTCAGCATAAAAATTTATTGAAGGTACTGGTGTTTTTAACCAAAACCTACCTTGTTCGGAAAACCTGCTCCATGGAGACCATCCCGATTTAGGACAGAATTTAGGAACAGTGCCTTTTTTTACATATATCATCTAGCAATTGCTACTAAGACTTGCAACATATCTGTTTGTGAGGGTTTTTTCCCCCCTTTAGGCACAATTTGTTAAAAAAAGGAAAAAAAAACATTAAAAATAAACACCTAGACAAGAACAGACTCTACAACAAATATTTGTCATATTATTAAGCACCACAGTGAAAACACCACCAACATTTACAGAAGCAGGTGAAAATAGACTAAAGAACATTAACACAGATGATGTTCTGTTGTATTAAACATCTTATTTCACGGCTTGTGACCATTCAGGCAAACAGAAAACTTAAAAAGACATTAATTCCTAGGTGCTTTATAACAGTTCAACAAAATGTAGCGATGATACCTAAGCTGCTGTTTTATTTTGGGCTTCTGGAGGTTGTAAGTGTGTCTCTACATATATGCATACTTCTAAATTTCAGTATACTCCTCAGAGTGCAAGATGCAGTAAGCCACTTTTCAAGTGGGAGGAGCTGACTAGTACCTGTCATCCTCCGGAGATGCATGCTGGATATGAATCCTGGGACTAGTAGGTCGTCTCCTCTCTAGGGAGGGGGACCATCTACCCCTGTTTGCCCGTTCAATAAAACAGGAAAAAAACAGGATATTTAGTTTGTGATAAAATTAAATATATGGGATTTGGGACTGGAAAAATACCCCAAAAAGTAATAAAAGTCTGTCATTTAATTATTTTCTAGCAGTTCTCTATTTCCAAGTGTACTGTTCTTCTGGCTGCTTACTGCAGAAACGTTACAGCTGAAACAAAGAGCACGTATGTCTGAAGATGCAGAATTTAGAGAGATATAAATCTTTTACATAGTTTACCATTAAGTTTTTACATATTGTCAAATGCTAGACTATCTAAAAGCCTATCATTTACATAGAAAGTTGTAATTCCAAAGTGGAAGATCTTTTCAAAGACGGTACAATGGTCATTTTGTGTCACCTGCTGGCTGGTATTTTGTTAAGTCCATCTCTCCTAGCTATTTGCACTGAAAAATGCATTCTCAGTAAAAATGTAGGACTGTGAATTATAAGAAAAATTCTAAGGCATAAAGTGACTCTTTTCTGGAACACAATGACAGAGTAAAGGTAAATTAATTAGCTACAGCTAAGCTACATACGTATGTGTACAAGTGCCGGAGTAACTTTTTTTTTATTTTAAAATATATATTGAAAGTGTGTGCAGCCAGCTGCTTCTTCTGTTCATTTCTCTGTACCCCTGCAGTACATGCCAGCAGATTATGTTCTGTATATAAAATTAATAAAAAGGACCTGAACTGTGAATGAAAACTAGCATCTTACATTATTTTTTTCTTGAAAAAGCTCATTTAATTTAGAATGATATTACTATTCTACAGGCTGATGTTGCTTATTTTGTTGGGATGTTATGTGGTCGTAATACTAGAAGTGTATGTATAACAATTTACAAAATCAAAATACACTGATTAATTTGCAAACAGCAAAATGTTTAATAAACTCCGCATGACTATCTAATATTTCACTTTCTGAGGCATCCTTCCAGTCCACATCATAAGGAAAAGGGTTTGATTTATGGAACATGCAAATAACAAAGGTTTCAAGGAGATTAGCATCACTTGAACAGTTAGGTAGAGCTTTCAGAAGTTTCAAGAGGCAATAGGTTGTTAGTAGCTGGTTTCTTTTTCTCTCCAAAGCAAGAGTTAAAGAAAATGCATCAGTGCACTCAAAGCCCTTAATATGCTGATATCCACTATAAATATTAGACAGCATTTGATAGAATTAACCAGGTCATGCGGTATGAACTTTGAGAACGTGCTCTTTCACTGAATTTTGAACAACCATGAGCCACAGTACAACACAGACAAACGTGCAATAACTTCTTCTTTTAGATGGTTGAAAAGAACCGGAAAAACAATACACTGCACACCTAATGCACACGGTTATTTTACTGTACATTGTTTTCAATGTAAATGGTGATATTCAACACAACTTTTAAAGGCATGCAAAACAAACACCTAACACTTCAAACTTACTAAAAAAACTTAGAAAAATCAACATGAAATCAGGACAGGTCTTAATTTGAACAAGTGACAGCGCCAAATTCTGTTATCTATGAGTAGGTAACTGGTAACTGTTCAGTTTTGTATCTTGTTTAGGTGGTAGTGACCAGCTGATAGCAAATATCCCGAAGGTCTTTGGAATGTTTTGATTCCTATTGCAGTGAAGCACTTCAGAACAAATCTAACACAGCTGCCAGGCTGCATTTTGCAGATATGGTGACCCTGTTGTACACAAACTAGTCCCTGGGCTGTGCTCCTCAGTTCTATTTGCTCAGATCTCCACTAACTAACCTCTCAGAACCAAAGCATACAAGCAGTAGCAATCTGTACAACTGCTCTTGTGCTAACTGCTAACACACACAACAATTGCTTGCAACACAAGAAACTCAGAAGGTAAATAAAAGCCCCACTACATATTATTAAGCAGCTATCACCGGCTCCACTCTTAAATCAGTCTGGGAAGATACTATTATGATGAGACACCACTGCTGCCTCAGTTCAGACACCGCACTTCAAACTCCTAGCTACGTGCTTTCCTGACTGGAGGCTGGGGATCATAGACAAATTTCTCCGTTCTAAAGAAATGGTACCAAATTTACAAGGAAAAAAGCAGAAATTTTAAGAAACCACGAAAAGGACAATAAAAAAGTCACACTAAAAGAGGTAGTAGCAGCAAAAACATTTTCAGCGGCATTAGAGTATATTTACGACTATATTCTAAACTAACATATGCCTTGCAGATCGTCACAGGAACTTCAACGCAATCATTTTGGAAAAAACTAGGTGGGGGAAAAAAAAGAAAAGACAGTCATGGTGCAACTGGATAGACATATTAGTAGGGGATGGATATTTTTGAGTATCCTAGTGTATACTGTGTCAAAGAGAAATATATGAAGGATTAAGTTCTGTACCAAACCATTCCATTTACCAAAATATTTTGGCAGGCCTGTGTCAGGGCAAGGTCAGTTTGCCAGTGAAGTTATACACTTTCCTTGCTCAAATGATGAAGCTTACAGCAGTAGGAAAAGAATGTCTTTTTTGTTGTTCTTTTGTTTTTGTTGTAGTGAAACTAAGAAGACTTATCATATATACTGCTGAAAGTATTTTTCTGATGGTATATGTGGGTCAGCAAAATGACTTCTACTGGCGAAGTAGGATCTTCAAAACCAGTAACTACTCCAACCATTCAAAACGATACAAATGATGTATAGAGTTCAAGGATCAAAACCATTTCCAACAAATCATTGACACAGAGAAACAGGGCTCTACTGTCCATCAGTTACACACAGCCAATACCTTTTTGTTAAAAAAAGCTCAAGGGGAGCATTTTAACTCTTCATCTGAAACACAATATTATTTAAATGCTCTGAGACAAAAGGTTGGGGGGAATAAGTAGAAATAATTTTCCATAGGTGAGTATACTCCTAACTTTGTGGAAGAAAATATACAATGTCACATTTAGAAGTCTATATTTTTAGGACTAAAATTCTCTATTTTTAGGACTAAAAGTCTAAATTTTTAAATAAAATCTACAATTCCATTCGGGGAGGGGAGAAACATCATGAAAACAACTAAAAATACCCGCAATATAGGTCCCTCAAACTTAATAATAATCTGTATAGATTGGACTTCACAAAACCATATAGTGCTTCTCTTTGCTACAAGCAAGACCAACTCTACACCTGATGGATGTTTGCCTAATCTCTTCTCAGACAGTCTCCAGTAATGAAGTCAAGACAACCTTTCCCACATGATCTATTACAGTGTTTCATAGAATCACAGAATGGTTTGGGTTGGAAGGGACCTTTAAAGGTCACCTAGTCCAAACCCCGCTGCCATGAGCAGGGACATCTTCAACTAGACCAGGTTGCTCACAGCCCCGTCCAACCTGACCTTGAATATTTCCAGCGATGGGGCGTCTACCACCTCTCTGGGAAGCCTGCTCTAGTGTTTCACCACTCTCACTGTAAAAAAATTTTTTCTTACATCCAGTCTAAATCTACCCTCTTTTACCTTAAAACCATTACCCCTTGTCCTGTTGCAGTGGGCCCTGTTAAAACATTTGTCCCCATCTTTCCTATAGGCCCCCTTCAGGTACTGAAAGGCTACTATAAGGTCTCCTTGGAGCCTTCTCTTCTCCAAGCTGAACAACTCCACCTCTCTCAGCCTTTCCTCACAGGAGAGGTGCTCCATACCTCTGATCATTTTTGTGGCCCTCCTCTGGACCCGCTCCAACAGGTCCATGGCTTTCCTGTTTCATTATACTTGCTTTCAAAAAAGCTTTCCTACTGTTTAAGATGAACCTATCTTACTGTATTTTAAGTCCCTTATTCTCATCTTGTCCAGTACAGAAATTAAATGCTTTCTACATACTTTGAACTTAATTCTGTGTTCTTCAAACTAAAGAATCCTCTATCACTATACGCAGCTGATCACTAACCTCATGTTAAATTGCAAGCAGATACATTCAACAGTGTAGAAGTAAATCTTCTAAAATTACCTTCCCCCAAAACAAAAAGATTAATTTGGTGGGTTTTATACATTAAGTATAAAATCTTCCTCCAAAAATTGGATTGTATTGAAAAACATCATCTATGTTAAAAAAAACCAGAAAAAAATTATGTCCTAAGTCCTCTGTCAAAGCCACACAGATCATAATATTTTCAACAAAACTATCATGGAAAATTTGAATACAAATTTCCTAAAAAAAACCTTCTCTGCACCCACATGAAGTATTCCAAGTCAAAAGCAGTTATGTGGAATTTTTCTGGATCAGACCCACAGATGGTTTGGCAAAACCATGTGTTTAGTAGCAGTGGAGGCCATCAACACAGACTAAACACTTTTCTTTACAAGGAGCTCATGAAAAGTGCTACAGATTCTTTGCGGTACCTAATGGACAGAGGTTGCTAGACAGGAATTATAAATACATAATAGAACTAGTTAACATCAGTGACAGATGCGGTTTTGAGTATAACATTTTAACTAGATAGTTTACAATTGCTAGTTACTGTCTGATTGAATATTTAACTTGATAGGTGGCATCTTGAAATAAAAGTACAAAACATAGTGCTCATGTCCATAAGTTATTACATTAAGTAGCTGCTTGTAGATGAATACAGCTGTATATATCTACACACTTAGTTATTACTATGATGCTACAGTATTTTTAAAATAATCTAGAATGGTATCCTGTATTTCATTCTGAGTGGCCTTACTTCTGCCATACTTTTTTTGTTTTTTAATAACCACGTATATATTACCTATTGTATCTTGAGCTCAATCTCAAAAAGGAATGAGCCAGTGTAGATCCATCTGAGATATCTCAGCAGAACATTAGTCGCTCCTCTGCAACACGGGCACAACTTGAGAAGAGCAAAGTTCCAATCAAGGAACTTGAATTCAGGTGGAAGTGGGGTGGAGGGAAAGGGAAATTTCACAAAAAATTAGGAGAAACCTTAGCTCAAAGAGATAAGAACATTTTTATTGCCTTTCCTCACAGGTCCTCTCCCACAATAACAATAATAATGCAACTGTTATAACCACCATACTGTGGGTTGACTGACAAAGCAAGTTGCATTATTAGCGGCCACACTAGTTAAACCCGTATTGCACAAATGAAATTGTAAGTCCACCATATTCCCACTCAATGGGAACCAATCATTGACTTTAGTGAAGCTAAAATCTCACTCTAAAATGGTACAGTTCTTAGACAAAAATGCAGAAGGTGATGAAAAATTCCCTTGTGGAACAATTCCACCTGTCAAACACACCAGCCATACTTGGTTCACCTAAGATTTTGAACCAAGCTACTGTAATATTAAATATTTAGAAAGCATCCATAAAATGCTTACACAATGTATGTGACAACAATATTTCATTTGAACTGCAGACATGTCTTCTTAAGCCTTAATATAATGTCACAGAGTGAAAAAAACTTAATGCAGTGATTTGCCTTGTAATTGCAAAAGCAGATGCAGCAGATTAGATTGAGCAATGAAGTTTGGCTGTTTTGTAGAGAATACATCACTATACAAACCATAGCTCTGGTTTGAAATATGAGAATTTTGTTATAATTTATCAATTACATCACCGCCTTAATAGCAGTCCACAGAACAGGCAAGAAACATAGGTAATACTTTTTAGCAAATGGTGATGAAGACTAACAACAAAGTGGTACTTTGTCAAAATACTTAACACTGCAATGCTATTATCAGCATACTGAGGACTTTTGTAAACAATGACATCAGCTTGAACTAAAACACAGAAAGAAGCCAGAAGCGGTTATAAACCCCAACACACAATTTACATGACATACGTGAACACAGGAGCAAAAATGTCTACAAATATCAAAGCAGACAGGAATGTACAAGAATGTAGAGTACTCATGTGAAGAAAAACAAAACTGATAAAGATCACCAGCACAGATGACAAGAAATTCATAAGTTTTTATTTGATACCTTTCTCGTTCTGGTGAATGCAAACTAGTATCTGGTCTCAAGCAGGTGGTACTAGCACTCCTAGCCCTGTCAAGGGAGGGCTGTAGTTCACTAGTGCCAGTGCATTGCATCCAATGGTAGAAGAGAAAGAAAAAGAAAACAAAGAAAGGAATACAATGTTAGATATTAACTCATAAAATAATGCTCTCTTTACAGAAAATGTAGAATCACAATGATTTAATTAAGGAAAACATAAAAGAACTGACTGGATGACAATGTCAAGATTGTTCAGAAAATAAAAGCAAACAAAAGACTGCTAGAAATTTTTCGCTAAGATCACTGAAGTGCTTAAAACTGAATGAGAGAACAACATCCACCTGTAAGAAAGTGGAATAAGAAATATCAAAAAATAAATTTAAAAACAGATTAAAAGCAGTAAATCTTAGGCCAACATAAAAGGATGTGATACACTACATTTTATATGAAATCACTTTACAGAGAAGCTCATTTATTCCGCAAATCCATACATGATACCAAACAGTAGGGAGGAATTAATCCTCAGTTTCTTACCTAACCCGTAGGTCATCTCCAAATTTCGGTATTCGTGAATTAAGGCAATCACGAAGAAGTGAAATATCCTGTCTAATCACTGATTTGGTCTTAGCATATGCAGGAAGAGTTGAGCTTTGTAAATTAAAATTATTTAAACAAAATGAAAAGAAATTTGACACGTAACCGAAATCATATACATAAACAAAAAAATGAAACAAAGAAAAACATGCAACATACAATTTTAAGAGTGAACAGAACAGTGAAGAAAATTCTACCTAAGTACTTTTTTTTTCTTTTTTTTTGTAACATAGGGGTTCATTTAGACAGTTATATGAAATTATTTTAGGATTATATCCCTTATCTCAGTTACAAAAACTGCATGAAACATTTTAATTTTTTTTTAATTTAACCAGGCTAGACTATTTATTTTTTAAAAAAGAACTAACTACTTAAAGCAGACTCAGCACTTCTTACCTGTATAGGTTCCAATGAGTACCATTTTCTAGTAAAGGCATCTTGGGTGGTAAAGTTTTATAGTGCCTAATAGAACTTCTTGAATGAGGTGGAACAGAAAAGAAAAAAATAACCACACAAAACCATGCCAGAAATAAAAAGACAGGTAAAGGTAAGGAAAGACCGACGAGAACATAAAATAAATGCATAATATTCTACTGCACTTAATAGTTGTAATGAGTAGATTTCTCAATGTATGTTTTTCTCAGCTCAACTACTGTGATGGCTGTCTTGGGGACAAACTTTTGTATTTATTACTTTTGTTAATACAGTCCACAAACTCCTGTCAATACTAGTACAGCTCAGACTTTTTCCTTGTAATGAAAGTAACCTAAATTCCATTTTTAGAGATCTTTAATCAAAATATACAGGTTGTTATAAAGGATTAGGTTGTTATTAAATTTGCTGTTTATTTGTCTCAGTAATGCTTTTTTCAGACCTACAGAAACTTTAACCTCTTGGGTAGCTAAGCATGAAAAGCTTGTCAAGAGTGATATATATATATACATATATATATATATATATAACCACAAACTCAACTACAGATGTATTAGCATCTGGCATTTCTGAATGTGGAAGTCTTTTTGAAGTGGTGTATCAGCTTCAAAATCTAACTGTAATTAAATGCTATTAATAATAAGCCAATTAAAAAACCTAGGAGATTTACTACATCAGCTAGCACAGCAGCACTCTGAGATGCTATACGACAACTGTCTAATATCATCACTTGTAGTACATGAGACTTTAGAACAGGAGTTGTTTGCTTTATTATCCAGTTCTGCCCAATGAACAAGGGAGAAATTTAAAGGCAGAAAGCAGCTGCTGAATGGGAATCATGGCCATTTAGTAGTTAAGGGTTAATAACCCAATTCTAACAATTTTCCACATACCCTACAGGACACCACTGTGGGGATATTAGCACAAGGACCAGCAGCCTTGAGAATTCTGCAGCTTCAAGAACAGTCTGTCCCTACAGAACATTTTGATTCCTATCAAGGCTTGGACCTGAGCACCACAGATCAACATTACAAACCCGGTTGTCACACACAGATGAAACAGCTCTCTGCCTGGAAACCCTACTGTGTGTAAAACCCTGAGGGATTTAGCAGAGGAGCTTTGGCCCCTCTTGTACACTGCTAACATCTCTACCAGAGGTCACTGTGACATTGCAAAGTTGGAATAAAAGAATGGCTGTCCATTGAATCCTGGCATACTAACAGAGACTACCAATCAAAGTGAGCGTGACCTGCGACAAGGACTATGACCATCCATGGTCTATGGCACAGGTACACATGTCCTTCCACCATTTCTGCTATTAGTCAATAATTGCATACAGATGGACAGGATGGACGCTAAGACTAGTATTATTTTAAACTAGCATATTAAACTAAACATATAACTTTGTAGCTTGGACTGTCTCATATTAATATTTCTTCCATTTAAACATTTCTTTCCCATTTTAAGCTGAAGCTGTCTCAATAATTAAAACATTAGTCAGCAAGCTGCCTAGAAAACAAGGATAACACCTTACAATGTTTCTAACATGAACAAATGTCAGGCCACTACAAATGAGCAAGGACAAAAGATGGCAACCAATGTGCAAACCAAACTTTTGTTGAAAGGGTTATTGAGACTTTTCAGTCAAGGATGGATATTGGTAATTTTCCGAGTATTATTCAAACTTGGATTAGGCTGTATAAACCTCAGAGTTAGATTAAAAAAAAAAATCAACCTATTGTCTTCTATTGCCCTTTGATTCACCTTCAATATGTTATTAAAAGTACCATTTCTGTTTTATATTATACCTTTATTGTTACTTCAAAGGAGTGAATTTATTACTTTCCTTGATCATAAAAAAATAACTACAATAATTAGAATACGGAAAAAGGCAAGAAAGGGCTGTATCTCTGAGTTCAGTGTAGCTCTTACCTAACTCTGTTGCTGCCCATGCACAATTTTTAGTTGTTTAACCGGCCAGACTGGTTAGTAGACTTGTAAAACTATGGGAAATCTATAGTGGCTGGGCAAAGTGGATCAAAACTTCATAATTCAATATTTACTTTGTCATTGAATAACTCTAAAGAAAATTATAAACTTTAAGAAGGAAAGGAAAAAGCATAGAGCTGGGGACAAGGACTGGAGTGAATCTGTAAAAGATGAAGCAGAAAGAAAGGCCATAGGAAAGAGGCAGGAAAAATTACTATTACATGACAATAAACTGACATAAAACAGAGTAAAGTATGTGATTAACCTTTAAAACCTAAAATGTTGACGAAAGCCTTTTTAGCTGAAGTGCGAGAATGAAACCCTTTCTACTGACAATGAAAACTTCAAATTTAATTTAATAGCTTTGCTGATGGACAGATTTTTTTGTTTTGTTTTCATATTTACTATTTTACCTTTATTGTGCCTTGTAACAGAACCCTATCACAGCATCTTTGATGCTGTTTCAAAATTGACGAAAAGAATTAAAGCAATCCAAGATACATTAAAAAACTACTCTGCAGGGGAAAATCCTACACCACTTAAATTAATAAGTACATCAGACTACACGGTTTTAAACATTTGATAGTTTTAAACACACAACACTGATATAAAAGTCTTAGCAATATCCAGGTCCCGAACAGAAAAATAACTACTTGGCTGAAGTAGCTGAATGGTTAATTAATTAAACTTCAACCTACATTTCTACTGATTCTAACTGGAAGATTTTCTACACAATCTGACACGCATTTTTACCAAGGTTAACAGACATGGTGAAAGAAAAGGGGAGGTGGCAAAGTTACAATTGTTAAAGAGATTTCAGTCCCATTGAGTTTCACAACACTGGGAAAAGCTGAGACAGAGAGCTTCAAGATTTGGACCGAGAGATTAATGAAGACTGAAGATGAGCCCAAACTACAAAGTTTATGCCTGGATCTAATTTATAGCACAATTTGTAGACGAAACACCTAGTAATATGAGATCCCTCAAATCTGGGATTCCCACTGAGCCCTCATTAACCACTGTTCTTTCTCTACAGGTGATGAAAATCAACATGAGATTAGGTGTCACAACAAGTAAAGATCTGTGGCTTGTGTGGGGCTGTAATATAAACATAAAAATGCAAATCAAAGAAACCATAAAAACAACTAAAAAGGAATGTTTAAAATTATAACAATACTGTCATGCATTGAGAGATCAGGACTTCTGTGACTAGACAAAAATCTACCACAAAATACAACTGCAAAATCTGAATTTCTTCAACTGCTTTAATCCTTACTACTGAAGTTCACAAACATACGTTTACATCTCAATTTGAATTAAAACAAACCAAAAAGAACAGCAGACACCTGGACCACAATGTACTAGGAAGTTCTTTACTTACTGGGACTAAATACCACTACAGAAACGAGGTTGGGCACACAACGTATAGACAACTAACCAGGTGTGTTCATGATTACCGAGTTCCTGTATTTACCTGATGGTATGTAGGCACTCTGCACTTCTTCCTCGTTTTGCTCTGGGCAGCATAAGAAGCTCACTGCACAGACAGGATGGGTGGTGAGTGAAACAGATATAATTATGAAGCATTAGATGACATGGGTTATGCCAATGATATGCAAATGAAAACATAAATAGAAACAAGAAGCTTCTAATCAGGTAGATAGTCTGATAATGTTGAAACCCACACTGCACCTCTCAAAGAATCGGCCAAAAAATGCCTATGGTAACTGCATTTTCAACAAATTCCTTTTAGGATAGCACCTAATGTTGTGAGATTGCTGCTTTTAAAATTCAGAACTATGGTTTCAGAGTTCTTCATGACAAAAGGAATCCATAAAACAGCTACATTTCTCTAATAACCTCCTTTCTCATAAACTAATTAATGAAGAAATACTTCAGAAAAAAAAAAAAGAATTATGCTTGTTGTTTGTTTTAGGTTTTCTTCCTAAGCCACAAAAACATACATTAAAAAGCAGGGAGTGTTTGCTACTAATTTAATGATGATTGGTTTATGGGAAGAGTAACCAGTCACACTTTTGGGAAAAACAAAAATGTGTTCCCAGGAAATATTATGTTTGGCAAAATATAAATCCTGACCCATAGATCTTTACAGCATTCTGTAATGCAATCCTAAATAAACAAAACTTTTTTTTCTATTCAGCCATCAGACTTTTTGTTTCTTACTGTTAGCCACCTACTCTGTTTTTCATTTACTGTAACTAAACACATGCCACAGCCAGCAAGATGGTAAAATTAATACATATTTATGCCTATGGTAAATATGACTATGACATGAAATATCCCTTGGATTAGTCTTGTAGTTTTACACACTTCAACCCAATCAGAAAGAGCAAGCTTCAAAACTCTCAGTTACCATAAATATGAAATCAATGCCAAACTTCATGGAAACATGCTGTTTTAAAAGAAGCAGGGAATCATATGAAGTACTATGGCGACAAAGAGAGAAAAGATTACAAAATAGATAAAGCAGCAATTGTCCAATGTGTTTTGTGCTTCACGCCATTACGACCCATTTAATTGATGCAGTATAGGTAACATTTATCGAAAATTCTAAACTGGCCAGGTTGAAATAATGGCTTGTTAGTCACGTGATTTAAGTTTGCATCTGGAATGACTAGCCTGATTTTGATGCAAGAAAATGTATTAAATGTGAACTGAATTTTTTTTTTCTTTTTAAGCAAAATTTTCATTCATAAGCTCAGAGGACTGACAGAATTTGTATGCAGGTTTTTTTAAGGGTTGCAAAGTAGATGCAAAGTCCACATCAAATCATGGGGTACTTCATTAATATTTACTCTACCTGTGCTAAGCCAAAGAGTATCCATTGTAATTGGCCCATGGCAAACAGCAATATAAAATTTATCCAGAGAATGGATATAAAATTCCCATATCCACCTTGAAATCTTCAAGTAAAAAAACACAAAGCAAAAGAATCCATCACAGCAGATTACCGATAATATAAGAAGATACTCACAGTTCTATAATGAATTGAGACTGGTTGGGAGACATTTAAAATAAAGCTTATTATTCTAAAAGAAGTGTTTTCTAACATGAGGATTTCAGTACTCACATTAACAGGCTTTATTTAGGAGTAAAAGAAACACTGAAGTTAAACGGGCCATGCCTTTGAAAATTCGATGGTGATCCAAAATTCAAGTAAAGTGTACTGCTTAGATGGATTTCTTACAGAAAAGGTTTTCTTAACAATTTATACACACACACGTGTATCTAAGTATAAAAATGTATATAAAAAAGGTGAAGTGGTCAAATCAGTTCCACTGGAACATTATCACACCAGATGCTTTAGTAAGAGACAACAGTAATTATTTTTACAAAGATCCATTCAGAATATTCAACATTAATTTGGGACCATTAACAGATTGAGATAATGGTCAAAAGTAATCAGTAACTGCAATTTCTGCCTTGTAACTATCCAGCAATTAGTCGTCTTTCAAGCCAAGTTTATGTTAGCTGTCTGCATGAACGTACTCGTTTAGATGAAGGTTTTAGTAAATGAACACCACATAATATTAATATTACTATTGATACTAATACATAACACTGAATAAAGATTTTCAAAAATCCTTGGGTGTATTAGAGAATCTTCCTCAACAAAAGCTGGTTTTGGTCTTCCCTATGACACTGCTCTTATATTCTGAAAGACAGTGAAACCTGCAAGAGTTAAAGTCTCCACAACTGAGGAAATCTGGGGGAAAGTTGAAAAGGAAAATGGGGAAAAGGAGATTACTGCAGACAAGATTATTACTCAAGCAGAGTAAGTAAACAGACCCATCTTTAAACCCTGCAGAGAAGCCATGTGCAGCCTTCATGTCTGATCTCTAAACTTCTGAAAAGTGTTTTCTGAATATTGAAAAGAACCAAACACTGTGTCTTACTCCTCTGAACAAATCCAGCAGCCCACTGCTGCTGTGGCTCTGGTCTGCCAGCTCACCTCCAAGCAAGCCTCTATGCAAGCCCTCCTCTCCAAGCATAATCCATGCACATATCATTGTTTATATCATGGTTTGAGACTTTACTGGAAGAAAATTTTCTAGACATTTAACTGTTTATTGCTTCTGACAAAAGCTACTTGCTAACGTCTCTTCCTCTTCAGGTTTGCTGAATAAGAAATCTATTCAATAAATGTTTTCAGGAATCTTTTGAACATATCACTACTTATAATAGGTAATAACATGAAATATTTGCAATGTAATAACATGAAATATTTGCAATAAGTGGAAATTACTTTAATTAGCTTAACTACAAGTCTGACTACTACCTTTAAAAGCATTTCAATTCACCTCTGAAAGGAAATTCAGTACAACAATCCAACTTAGACAATTCTGCACATACTTCTTGCCTGTAAAGCTGAATTTTAGTGTTCCAAATAACTCATTAATTCCCTTATGTACATTATCACGTTAAAAAAGCAAAACAGGCAAGATTATATACAGAACTGAACTAGTTTAACTGCAAAAGACATCTGTTCTTCAATTTCTGTACTGCTTCATAACTGGACAAATAGTTCCAGAGATTTTTATGGCTTATTCTTTACATGTTTTCACATACTATGAAATTTATCTTCTGTATTTAATTTACTGGAAAGGTTTTATAATCATTACTCAAAAAACAGTAACTTACCACTAAAAAAAAAAACAAATACATTGCTAGGACAATTGATCTTATACGAATGGTAAAAGTTTGACATTATAGTTTAGCTATATGGTTTTTTTGAATTAAATAAACAATCCACAAACATTGATCATCTGTGTGACTGTCGTCATTATGTTTCCCAAATACTGACCTGAAATAACTTTTTAAACATTTTTCAGCTTGTGACTGTCGTCATTATGTTTCCCAAATACTGACCTGAAATAACTTTTTAAACTTTTTTCAGCTATAAACTAAATTCTCATTTTCTTCCATTTTATGAGAATATATTCCTAGACACCTGAAAGCAACACCTACTAGGAGAGACTAAGCATTCTCTGAGGACTGTAGCCACTACACGTATTCCAGGGAAAGATGTGTATGTGTCACGCATCTAAGATTGGAGATTTTTGCTAATTATAAGCACTGCAACTATCCTTGCTACGCTTGGGTTCCGTACCAATTTCACCGGAGTGTTACATAAGATGCTGTGAGAATGCATATATAGATGTCCAAAATCTATAAGCACAGGAATGCAAATCATAGCATATGCAACTCCCAACTGGTAGGAAGGCATGCCAGGTGTTTTGCTGGCTCCTGCAACAGATAAATCCTCAGTTACAAGAATAGCTAGGGCATACATGTAGATTTATGGTTTTCTAGCAAAAATCTCTGGGCTTCACTCATGAAACAAACAGCAGAATAATCTAGGGCAAACAGCCAAGAATTATTAGTCTAGATACCCGCTATTACTGTCAACTCAGCTCACAGTTTTACCAAAAAAGACGTATAGATAATTTAACCATGACACTAGATTTTTTCAGTTAGGATTATTTCTCCCCCTTCCCCATTACTATTAGTCATGTTTCTACTGAACACTTGAAAATTAGGCAAATCACAGGTGTTTCTAAACTTTTTTCCAAGTTGAGGCCAACGATGTACCTTTCTTGATCAGACGAATACTGACTATCCATGTCTCTGGATCTGTAATCAACTGGAGTTCTGGAGGCATCATGGTGTCTAGTTGGAGAACGTGATCTTCTCATTTGATGAATTTCATCTAAACTCCTGAAAGGCAGAAATATGTATGATACTTCTGTTTTCTCGTAAGTAACACAGCTTAATGGATTACAGTACAAGTTGTTTGAAGGAAGTTTTAATCATTAAATTGTTAATATACGACTTTAAAAAATATTGGTTCTTAAGTTTAAAAAAACACCTCTAAGTAAAAAAAGCAGCCATTTTTACCCTATTTAGAAGTACATGCCTGTTTCTGTGTACACTGATGGATTCAGTAATGGCATTTTCAAAGCCCGTACTTAAAGAATAACTGAGATAACAGAAGAACTGATATACCTCATGCAAAATTAAGTTTTATGCATTTGTAGATTCATAACCAGGTTTCTAAAAGGGCTGTCAAATTTTTGCAGGTATCTCCAAGTATTCTTTAAGAAAGTGTGGGATTGGATATGGGAACTTGCAGCTGATTTTATCAATCTCAAACTAAGTGTTGTACAAAAAGGGGTATGATTATGTATAAATGCAGGTAAGCTCTTACCTCCATGACAGTAATTTAAAGCTCTCTTCACATTAAAAAGAACAAGAAAAGAAATAACTACTTGAAAGGCAGCTTCTTCCTTTAGTTTAATAACTGCCATTGGAACAAGAAGCCTTAGTTTTTCAAAGTATAAAATGAAAGGATGGGTGGAATTAGCTATGAAATATTTCATTTGTGCATCATGCTTATAGATACAAAGTTACAACAAGAGCACATAGAACTGTTTGCAAAAGCAGAATGAGGAGCGCTCATTCTCTCTACCATAAAAAAAAAAATGAGTCAGTGCCACAGTCTGTTTTACGTAGAGCCATATTCTTCTACCTGTTACGGATGCTCTACTGAGAAATGCAAAAGCAAGTGATTTGGCGGGTAGTGAAATAGTTTCTACTGTAAGAACTGATGTAACACAGGGAGATGCATGCAGGGACTTAAGCAGCACACAAAACTTCATTGCACAAGAACAGTATATATGGCATGGAGGATTGAAAGTCAGAAGCAAGATCATCAGGAATTCTCAGCTGAGAAGAGAAGCCAGTTTTCCAGAATATACCACGATTTTGAAACATCACAGCTGTCCGGTATTAAATGACCAGTGATGGAACTCCAGAAAAACAGACACAGAAATGATGGATAAGGACATTACTGTAGCACAGAATTTTGTACACAAAATTCAGCTAAGAAGGGCAGATTTTCAGCAAACTACCACAGCTAGTGGGCAATAATGTTGCTAGTGAAACACTTCAAGCACTTGCAGTAATTCAGGAATAAAGCTTCTGAGAAACTGGAGGAAAGAAAAACCGGTAAAAACTGGCTGATTTTAGGGTTCCATGAGAGGCTGCAAGAGCAGCTTACTGCTCTGCACAATACAAAATGTAAAATCAAGCAGGTCAAGTTTTGTGCTTAAACAGTCTGTACAGCACTATTCAAAACAAGCATAAAGCATGCAAATGAAAAGCTCAGAAAGGATTCTTCTATGAACAGGTTGCCTATTAGAAGTAGTAAATAGAGAAAATAGAGGTTTATAAATCACTGATTCTGTAAAGTATTTCTTACTTCTTCCATTAAAAACACAATTTGTAATTTGTTTGCTGTTTCTTCAAAATTAGTTCAATTTATAGTTATACAATTTGTACGTGCCACTATTTATTATCCTACAAATATACTTAGGTGCCTTCATACAAGATTCAGCCACTGACTAAAAAAACAATTCCAAGTCTGTGTATTAGTTATGGTAGACAGATGATGAATCACAGAGAAACTATCAGTAAGAAGAGGTAAGTCTTAAAAAGTTACAATTCATCCCATGAGTGCTCTTGAATGATTAATGAAAGTATACATCAAGTTCAAATACTACACTATTAAATTCAGAATCAAAAAGAGTTTTAAAATTGTGAAAAATTTCTCAACAAGAGAAAAGTTAATAACGACAGATTACACAAACTTGAAACCACTCAGTGCTTCACTAACTTGTGATGCCTACCTCTGTAATGGCACATTTGGTAAACGTGAACGGGTCCTGCCCTGATCGTCGCCACGGTGAGGAGATACAGATCGTGAACGATGATGTGTTGTTCTTTGCTGTTCTGGCACAGTTAGCGTTGTAGATTTACTTTCTCTAGCACTAAATCTATAACCTACTGGCAAGAGGGCAACAAAAGGAAATTAGAAAATAAAAGTCTGGGTTTGGAAAGAATTCAGATGGTTAGTCCTTCCAGGAACACACATCTAAACGCTTACACAACTTTCAATTCAGCATTCAGCTGTTGTACATCCTGATGTGTCATGCAGCCAGGATAAATTACTAGCATTACCTTTAAACATCTACATGTACAGAGACAGAGAAACTGAGATGATTTTTATTATGTACTGGAAGATGTGGAGGAGAGGACTGAAATAGCTTTCTGACTTGGGGAAGAGTACCCAGAGTAACTTGTATTTCAAAGTTGTCGTACAGTAGCAAATATCTGAAGGGAACCCAAGTAATGTAGGTTTACCTCACCAAGCAAATGGAGAAGGCATGCTTGTGTACAACAGAACAGATACATCCACGACCTGCTCATATGTAAAGAATCCTTCCGACGCTTGTTTCAGTTAAACACAAAGATGTTCTCCTACTGAACTTGGCCAAAGCCACCTACTTTCAAAAACTATGAGCATTTAGAGTACATGATGTAGAATGTTAGGTGTTGCATACTTGGAAGAACATTTGTTCTGAATATTATGAATAAGCTGCAAAGCTTCTCATAGTTCTTATCCACATAGGATTTAAAAAAAAAATCAGCAGAATGTTAGTACATTTTAAAGCATTGATATTCCTGTGCCTTCTTCCATGCAGTATACTGTTTGCCTTGATATACATTTTGAATCCCATCCTAAAACAGACAATGAAGCTAAGATGAACAGCTTTCAAAAAGTTGCTGTTGTCTTTCTGAAAGAGCCTAAAGACACTTGCTCAGACTTCAGTTGCTCTCTTCTAGACATTTAAATTAGATTACAAAAATCCCTTAATAGAAAGTCCCTTGATGACAGGGTCATCGCTTCTGTCATCCTGTAATGACTTCACAAATTACTGTTTAGATTCCAAAATAGTCATTTTGTTGCTTCTCTGAATTTGTCTAGCATTAAGTTCCTGTAATGTGTTTTTTATTTCAGCTAAAAAAAACAAACTCTATCAGAAATCTTCTTTCCATGCAGGGAAAGGCTCTGATTTAGTCACTTAATTTTCAGTTGGGTAAACTGCGTAAGTTGCACTTTTTAAGGATCTTGTTACAGTATCAAGTTCGGGTTTTTTCAGATTTTCTATAATTTATATAATTCTTGTCATTCTTCTCTCATCATCTACCAAATTGTTACTGTTCTCTTAAAAGTGAGCCTGCATTAGGCTTGGTCATGTATTCCCTGACACTTCACCTGTTTAGCTGCAAGTCTGAACCCTGATCACAAACATCAAGGAAGCATTCATGCTCTTTTCCCTAAAACGTGTGTCAGTTTACCAACCTATTCTAATGGGCATGTAACTTCTCTGAACGCACTATCTCATTATCAGACCTGCAGGAAAACACTTTGTTAAAACAGTGATAAATAATCCTAAACTAAGCATATCTTCCACCATAGAACAGATTCATCCTGGCAACAGAAAACTGAAAACAGGGACCTACTAGGTAAACACTTCTATCATCCAACAAACTCAAAGACTGTTTTCCCTGATTATGCAGCTTATAATATCACAGCCTCCAGAACTGTGACCACCTTCTATACAGTACTGAACAAACTAGCAAAAATTATCCAAAGATAACAGAAGAACACCCAGGTGCTGTGGTATCCTACAGTAGCTTTCAGCCTTACACCAGCTTTCCAGTAACTCCAGTAAATAAAAAAAGATTGGCTTCAATAAGTTCTTGTTGTCTTTAATACATTTACCACTACAAATCAGACACGGAAGGCAGATAGGAAGGAGACAATGTTGACAAAAAGATGATTAGGCAGTTTTACTACAGACTTTCTGGTTACTTTCAGCTAGAAAACATATGCAGAAAGACCTTTGCCAGCTCTGCTATCATTTTGTCCAGCTTCTGTGTTTTCAACTTGATAGTACAGCGGCTGGTGTGAGAACACGGGAAACAATCTTGTTCTTTCATTTGTTGAAGCAGAGGGGTAGGATGAGGTTAATAAATCAGGGAAACAAAAAACACTATGAGTATTGATAGATGTTAGAGGGTAGCACTGGGCCCAAAGAAAAGCACTCATAATAAGAACATTTCATGTAGCTCAGAAACAAACATCAGGGAGCATAACATTGAGTGCACGTGTGCGCTGTTCTCAAACAACACTGAATTAGACATGTCAAAAATAACGAATGTAATCTCATATTTAAAATGTGACGTTACTCAAGTTTGGGAAGAGTGGGGGCTATTGTTTGAAAACCAGAGAAAACAAGCTTGGGAGAGCTCACTTGTAGCTACAAAACCAGCAAATGCTTGTCACATAAAGAGCATTTTTAATAGCAAAGCTGTACTGAGTACTGACTGCAAAATAGGCCTGTAAATGTTGACAGCATGCATGAAAGTATGGAGGTTTATCAACCTTTTAACAAAGAAGGACTCCAATGTTCTGCAGGTTTTGATGTACTGTGACATGGGAGTATCTTACCTGCTGAAAAAGTGTTTCAGAGTTGTGCAATAAAAATAGAAAGAAACACGAGGATCTCCCTGATCTCAGGACTAGGTGCAAATTTTTAAGCAAAAAAAAAGGACTCCGTCAGGACTTCTGTGGAGATTTCCTCATCTCATGTACTAAGGTTGTTGCAGAAAATGTCTGGATTTTTGTAAGAGGAAGAAAAAAAACGACACACAACAAAAGCTAGATGTTTTCCCTTTCCCAGGATAACTAAATCTAAGCTGTATGTGCTAAAAGATATTTCATTTTCCAAACAAGCTTGTTTTAGATAAAATTCTGTCACTTCTATCAGAAGGGACACTAGTTTACATTTATTCAATGCTAAAATCAAATCAAAAACTTCTTTCTAAGCTTTAGGTAACTGTACTGAAATACGTAAAAATTAAATCTAAAAAATTTTAATATAAATTTCAGTTTAAATATATTTCTAGAGTATCTCTAGTCTACCTAAAAACCATACACTTAGGATTATCTTGTACACTTAAAAATCTGGTATAGAAAGATGACTTTTTCCTATATATGCTTCATAGTCAAGCTATCCAGAGAACAATACCTGAAATGTGTGCATTGTGTGCACACAAAACTTACAAACCAGACAGAGAGAGCAATAGCAGTTCACATTTACCCTAAGTACCAGCTCAAGTATTGTCGAGTTGGTCAATTCACATCCATACCTCCATCGAGACCACGACAGTGACAGCAACAGTAACACTTCCTCATATCCTCAAATACAAAGGCTCTGTGCTCTCCAGAGTGAGCAGAGACAATTTTTGCATGGACCAGCATGATAGCAGCAATTAAGCTTATGGTAGTTTACGCAGAAGTTTCTCAGTCGCTTACGGGAAACTGTCAGGTGTGACATGAAATGGAAGCTGGATGGATGATGAAAATGGGTCTAGCAAGTGTTTGATACAAGAACTCCTTTTTTCTAAAGACAATACAGACAAGGTTTTGTGTCGACGTCACCCTACCACTACAGGAGCAAGGTAAGTACAATGCAACCATTTATACAGATTACATATGATAGATAAATAGTTCTGAAGAGTTACCATAGCATAAGCAATATAGTGCATTACAAATACCCTCTGGGATATTGCCAACTGTATATCAGCTTTTTTTTCTTTTTAATTAAGAAAGTTACTATAGCTTTTGTTAAAAAGATAGATCTCAAAATATGTTCATTATTTATCAAATCCTTTACTGACCCTTCCTATATACTTAGCATTGGTGAGGCCACATCTGGAGTACTGGGCTCCCCAGGACAAGACAGACTTGGAGTTACTGGTGTGAGTCTAGCTCAGGAACATGAAAATAGTTAGGAGACTGGAGCATCTCATATAAGGAGAGGCCAAGAGGTTTAAAATAATATTATCTTCATGTAAATAGATGTGGACATACCACAAAAACCTGTCAAAACTTAATTCTGTTAAAACTGAGCTTCAAATTAAAGTTGCTTTCAGCTGTTGAAAAAAACTCCTTTTATGAACAGCTCTATGAGCTGATTTTAAAAAAATTATATATGTCACTGCAAGACACAAATAATAAATGAGGACAGTACAACTATATGAAAGATAAAACACATTTGTAATATGACAAGGGAAAAATACTTTTCTTAAAATATTCTTGAAGTTACCAAAGTGCCATTGTTTTTTGATGTAGCAGTCTTTACTTCCATTGACCAGCAGTGATTCTTCGCAGCTGCTGAAACCTCTAGGAAAACAGTTTTCTCTGTTATTACGAAATGCTAATACTGCATTTGCCTTAACAATTGGTAAAACATTGAAATTACAGTTTTAAGGATTTCCAATGTCAGTTAAATTAGCCAAAATATTTTCATCATTTCTTTTTTAGCCTGTGTGGTGAAAAAGTGACCTTTTGTGCTTCTGCATTTTGCAGTTAGGTGTTTTATTTTTTAGAAACTAACAATAGTCTTTGTGAAAATCTTGAGATATCAAGAAGGCAAAATAAATTTCTTGACTTCTGAATATTTTAAGAAAAGGAATAAATTAACAGCTGTAAGAATATACCTCTAATAAAGACAAAGCTTAATTATCATATATAAGCACCACAGTGGGTAACATTCGTAAGTAAGTGGTATAGGAAGGAAAAGGGGCTTTAAAGGAAAACATTTTGTTTTGCATCACGTGTTGTGAACTCAATATTAATATTCTTACTTCTGTTGAGAAGGAGTATCTTAATCCTCGACTAATCTGGTTGAAACCGATAAAGGTTATGCCAAAATGGTCTAAGAGTGCATCTGAGCTGCCTCATCATCCTACTTTATGGGGAAATATGGATATTCGTTGTTCCCCCCACACACATACCTTGCAGGAGAATGTGTGGGAAATACGGACCAGACAAGAGTTGCAGTGCACTCTGGTGAGGTCTATGGTGTTGGGGGGCAGGAGAAGGGAAGGTGTAGAGACCCTGCAGCACAACAAAGAACTTGCATGCAACTTAGTCTTAACATAGGAGACTGTTAGATGGTGAAGGTACTGTACTATTCATTCACTGCAAATGAAGGTAGCAGTCCAAAGTCTTAGAATATACAGCAACATGGTAAGTAAGGAAGGTTGGATAGGAGGGTAGAAATGCATATTTGAACTTGGTGTCCAGACACATTTATGAATCTGTGCCTAAGATTCTCGAGCAATTCAGCAGACGGTGGGAGTGGCAAACTTTTCCAACTCTCACTGCAAAACACAATTTCATATACTGTCTAGGCTGTCACGCTTCCGTGGCTGACAAGTGAAATTTTCTTTGCCCCTCTGTGCCTAAAGTCTAACCCCCATTTAAGACTTCAGGTTGCACCAGCAAACAAAACCCCCACACTTATATGTATATCCACTTCACATAGGAATCACAGACAGCTGAACTCCACTTACAACTGACAAATAAATGTATCCATTAAACTCAAAACAGACAAATTTGTACATTGTCAGGTCAACTGCCAAATTGTTTCTGATTAGGTGGACTCCAGGAGTCTCTTCACCAGGCCCTTAAAGTTTCAGCTAGAGACTCTCAGCTCATTGTAAATCCTATTGCTACAGATTAAATCTTGCAATTTTCTACAGTTATCTCTGAGAAAGTTTGGATCCATGTATTCTTCAAAGGCACATCTGAGCCTGCACAGTCCCAAGAAATTTCCATAGGAATCAGTTACTCATGTGCTGACCTAGTCCAATGCATTCAGCCGAATATTTTTGAATGTTTCCTGTCAGATGGAAAATGTTTTGTTTTAAATGGCAAATGGATGCCCTGAAGAACTGTCAGCTGAAAAAAGCCTCAATTCTTAATCTGGTATACTGAAACCTTAAACACACGTAAGTCTACACAGATATGCCAGTATCTACATTGCCAACTAAAAAAAATAAATAATAAACAGGAAAAAATATTTTAAACCTGTGATTTATTAATTTTTAAATGTTCACTCTCAGCTGATGCAAAAATACCAAGATTAATCACTTCATTAAAGCATATATCACTACCAGACATACCTGAATAAATTTCACTCTTAGTAACTCATGTGGTAATTGTATTAAAGTAAGAAAAAAATCCAATCAGCATCAAACGAACCAGAATTTGACTCAGTAAGCATCAAAATGATTTTTCATTAATACATGATTTATTTGTATGGTTATATAATGAATAAATAAATTGTCAGTGCATTTTAAACACAGATAAGGAAGATGGAGAGCTTTGCAAATCCCACCGTGACTTAATTCAGCAATATTCATCAGGAAGATCCACAGAAAAACTGATTTAGTGCTGGCAGCAACATAGTGACTCTTCAGTTAGTTTGGTACAACTGGGAAACATATCCATCTGACTTGTGGCAACAGCCAAACAGAAGTAGAAAAATATGGTATCCAAAACGATCATCAAGATTTTAATAATGTAAGGAATTCTGAACTAAAAGTCAAACCACAATAGTCTCTGAAAGTATATGTTTATGAACATTTAGGTTAATGATAATTCATGAAGGCATATGAAAACTATAAAAACTATAGCCATGCTACATGCTTCTTCATCTACAGCCATGCATTCTCAGTAAAGTCCATGGGAGACTGCATTATATCTAAGTTTCAAGCAAAAAGCAAAATAAAAGAAATGTTTGCAATAAACACTGAAATCTTAATTACCATTCTACAATGATTTTTTGATTTTAATTTATATTTTAAATAATGCTTGGAACTTTATGCAGTAAGCAATTAAAGAATTTGAACCCTCCAGTGGTTCACATATGGAGAATGATATGTAAAAGAAATATCAATGAATGAATAGTAGAATCTTTTATATCACCACGATTTAGGACTGGTACCATGGAATTACCAGGAAAAGTGTTTTTTTTCACAATGCACTCTCCGAAAACAGTATCCTCAATATTCCAAAGTGTTATAAAGAAAAAAGAACAAACAAGCAAAATAAGAAGAAGAAGAAAGCAGGACCATGCTGTTCACCCACGCACCTGGAGGAACAACTCCAATACCATCATCAACATCATAATCTGAGATGTCACTATCACTGATTGGCCGAGACCCTGCACAACAGTAAGGTAAACAAATACCTGAACATCTGGTCGTGTTATGAAATGTAAAAATATGTTCATTTAATATACTACTGAAATTAAAATGTCAATTTTAAGTCTAAACAACAGAGGAGGAGAACTGAACCGCAGTGACTGACAGTGACATTTCACAAGGCAGCTGAGCCAATTTAACATCTTACAGCTGCTGCAGCCTCCTTTCCCCTTCTCCTTCTCTCAAGTCCTCAGTAATCCTGTACTAGAATAGTTTACCTCACGAAACCAGCAAAAAGTTAACTCAAAGAAAAAACACACTTCTGTGCTATTTCAGTGAGTAAGCTGAGTCAGCTTGCTGAACAGGAAAGGAGAGGTGGCAGCATATGGTGAGAGAGGGGAAGAGGAAACAGCACTGCCAGCTTTTAAAAAAGTTAAAATATCTCATGAAAACTGGCCTTTAATTTGCTCTCCCTATATACATATCCTCATGCATCAATTACAGCAGTATCATAATTTTATAATTAATTCCTGAATGTGCACCAATTTCCTTCGCATTGACTTCCATGTTTAAGAAAAATCAGAAAAATAGCTTGGAAACTTATTTTAAAATAACCCCCTATGTCCTTATGTCTAAACAAATCTTAAATTAATTTAAATGACCAGAGAAGCTACAATATGCAAATATTTCAATACATTCATCATTTTAATATGCCTCATACAAACCTGAAATGGGACTCCTCAAAATAGTACCTCCCAAATACACGCACACAATTTCTCTTTGCTACAGAAGCACGGTTCTCATCGATTGTACAATGAGCATACTGGAGGTAGAGACTAACTTTATGATGAAAAGTGGGTTTAAGCCTTATAAGTTTAAGGACTTTTTTTAAAATAGCTATTTATTATTTTAAAAAGTATACAACAATGATGAACTTCATCTTTCTACTTAAAAGGAAATTTATGCAAACGAATGTTTGAACAATTTTCTTTTGCTAGTGAAAACCAAACTAATTCCAACAGGTTTCACATACTTGAAAGTTACATGCCACAGGTGAAAGGCTGCCATGTCATAACATCACAATTTGCATCTCTTCTGTCACACATTTTCATTATGCTTAAAGACTATGAAACAGTATTTTTATCTTTTATATGAAAGTTAAATACTATTACACCATATTCAGCTTTAAAACTTAAGAGATTAATAGAATTTGGACCTACTTTGTAATTTTTTGCTAGCGCTTTCTCCACCATGAACATGTCTTCTTGGCATGAAAGGTGATGGTTGAGGCAGAGGTAGTGAAGATTCATCATGTGTCTGTAGCTTATACCAATGTGGTTCATCATCTAAAAGTGCTGTCTCCAGCTCTATAAGAATCTAGTAGAAAAATTATCAGGTTTTAATTATGCTTCCAAGGCACACACAAACACATACATAAAATATATTATGTATATGTATTTAAAACCAAACAATGAACTCGGGAGAAATGTGATTGTATGTATCACCTCTCCAAGAAATTCACTCTCTTCTTCTTGTACTCTTGGCTGATCCCATACTGTTATTTCAAGCATTCGTTCTCTAAAATCTCTACGATGTACATGTGAGTAGAGAAAAGCTTGGTTCCATTTTGGCTCTAGACTTTTCTTTACTGTTTTGGTCCTCCTTTTACTCTTATCACTGAAACATAAATATTTGTTGTAAATTGTTTGTAGAGATAAATCACAAAATCCCATTCACTCATCAGCACTTACTGTTTTCATTCTTTCTGATCTGATAATGCTTAAAACAGAAAAGTATTTGCTGTACAGTCGACCAAATTCATCTAAAGGTCCACACAGTTAATTTGTTACTGACTTGCATGAGTCAAGTGCATTTTTTTTGTTATAATTAATCTAGCTCTAATGAATTATAAAAAGAAATTCTTTACTTCATAACAGCTCATTTAGACGTTGATTCAAAACATGGTAAATTACAACACAATTTTCTAAATTTAAATACTACCTTCTGTCTGGAAGAAAATACATTTTTACATAAGGATTCCTGGGGCGTCCATCTACTCTTGGTGGCAAATCTGTTGCTTGAAGAACATTTACTATTAACTGATGTCCCACTTTGTCGTACCACAGTTTAACCTACAAGAATCCAGTTACCAGAAAACATTACTGAAAATGGAGAACACACAGAATTTTCAGAGTGCTTCACATTAACCACAATGTAAAAGCAACCATTGTTTTTTTCAGGAGACAATGAGATACATTTCATTTCAAATCCCTTAATAGTTAAGTTAGATGGAAAAGATGATAGTATATACCAAAGACTTTTGTATTTACGACAGCTGAATTAAATGTTGGTGCCTGACTATACTTACATTGTTTATTGGACTCACTATGTAATCTTTTATGTATGAGTGCATTTAAAAGCTACATTCAAATAGGAAGCCCTGACCGTAGCTAAACTCTAGGCATCATGGAAATCTACTCTGATTTGTCACCTTGCAAATGTTCTTATGAAAAATATACTATACCGCTAAATCATTTCTTCAGAGTCATAACATTATGAAATCTTTGAGCCTGCTGTATACTTAGAAGTTGATACGATCAATATAAAAAAAATATAAGAACATATGAAACAAAGTCTAAGTACTCACAATATATTTAATAAGCACAGCTTCAATTAGTATTACAGACAGTTCCAGGACGTAGTGTGTATCTGAATTAAAATGCATTACTGAACAGTGTAACTCTTAACAAATACACAGCTCTTTAAATGCTCCCATAAAGATAAATTGATATTATGCTTGTTATCTGTGGATTACTGGGCATGTACAGAAAAGTCACCATTTCCAATGCAGAGGGTAGAGGATGACAAGTTACAAGCACTTTTATGGGCTCCTCTCAGTGTAAATGCCTGTGCTCTGAGGTGTATTAAGGCAACAATTCTGTACCTCTGCTGTGATTACAGTGATGGTTTGTGAGTGTGCACAGAGGGTCTTAAACATTTGAAAGATGTTAGTCTTTACCAACAACACACATTTCTCTTGACCTCCCAACAGACCTTGGGAATGCAGAGGGCCAAGGGACAAGCAATTCATAGATTTTTCATTAACAACTGAGGGAAAACAAAACATGCTCACAGAAAGCTGCCCTGGTAGGACTTGTGGTGCATCCCGTAGGGCTCCAGGGCTGGTTGGAGATATAACAGAAATAGAAGGCCTTTCCATCTTCTGAGATTCAAAAGAACTTGAACCTAAAAGTACATGAGAAACATTAACTTTCCATTCAAAATTTTGAAGAAAATTTGGATAACTTATGAATTCCTTTTTCTTTGAATTGTATAAAATTTGTATGTGTACACAGTATAACTAGATTAGTGTACAGAAAGATTTAAAACTGATGTAGATAGCACGGTGAAAAAGACTGTCTGGATACCCTTATCCCAGATTAAACATCCCAAAAATCTCAGAGCCAATGCAGTCTCCCAGTGCTCATCTTTCAGAAAATTCATAGCTGAAACAATTGTGCTGGGTACAAGACCATGCTTAGCGAAAAGAACGAGGTATGTACTCACTAGACTCTAATGGGGGGTGAGAAGTCTCGGGAATCCGTGGAATATCACTAAAATGTGAATATACACATAGGAATTAGAAACAATGGAGATGACCTTCTGCTGCAACAGATACGTTTCTGGGACACTTTTTTTTAGAAATATAGATATGTTTCTGTTCAAATGGGTTACAAGGAAAGAAAGAGGAAATATTTAAAGACGTATTTTCCACTAGCATTCATGAAAATCTTACTAATGCAAACTACTACTTTCAAGTTAAGGAACTAACAGATGTAACAATATAAGCACTACAATGTTAATATTGTGGATGGGTTCCACAATATTTTTACACCAGAACAATGACGTTAAGGAGATTTTATGAAGAGAAAGGTGGCAAAATGCAGTATAGCTATGAATGTTCAACTATTTTTTTGAGGAAAAAAATAAAAAAAAACCAGTCAGATTAACTCACTAGTAGTATTTATATAAACGTCTCAAGGAGTTCACGGAATGAAACTGGTGAAAATGTCTTATATAATAAGAAAAGAAAAAGCAAATAATATTAGCAACGTTAAACAAACAAAAGAATAATGTATTTCTCGAAAGGTTAAAAAAAAGCAAACTGTATTACGATTGGGTATGGACATTTTTTGACACAAACACATCCAGCACATACACAGGTATAAGCAAAATCAAACTGGTTAAGTCCACACATATCTATAAAAATTTTGGCATCAACAAATTTACTCTTCCATCAAAATATATGGATGATGATAGCTTGTGACTCTCTTCTGTTCTCAGCAATCATTGAAAATACATTGTGAAGGCAAAAAACAACAGTTCTTGTACAAATATTAACAAAGAAGCGAAGCAGGAAAATGGAAACAAAGTTCTTCAGTCAATTACTTGAAAATATTTTCATCTACACAAAATAATCCAAAATTGGAACTACAACAGCATTTCTGAAGAACCTTTACAAGATTTTAATTCTGAAGTTGAGCATTTTAAAGGTATTCGGGCATTTCTCTGCTCAGTGAAGCACCTTTTTACTGACTTGGAAGTCAATAGAACTAAGACTCCTGGGTATATAATGGTCACGAAAAAGAAAGGCACACTTAGGTCAGAAAAGGAATAGAATAGTGCCCAGTCAAATGGTCTTAAATTTGTTTTTCACTTGCTGCAATTTAGACTTGTATGTGTTTTAAAAAAGTCTATTTCAGCTTCCAGTTAATGTCTGACATCAGCTTACATCTCATATCACTCCACAAGAACGTGCTTCTTTTTGCTCTTGACTTTGCAATTCAAGAGTAACAAAGATTCCTCAAACTCATGGAAACATAACTGCATTACTTATTCTTGACATGACATAGTAGTACATCACAAAAATATTAACAGATTAATGACATGTTCCACAGCGGGGCTGCTGTGCAGACTTCTGCCTCTTAACATACTCTCCCTTCAATTTCCAGGGCAGTTCTCATCAGTCTGAAATACTTACTTTGCATATTCCAACTGATTTCTCTGTTCAACACATTTCATTTGCAATGTTTTCTTGCGCTATAATATGAACACTCTTGTCTGCAGTACAGCATTGTTTGTAATAATATCCCATTTAGAATATCTAAACGAGGGCTCATATGCACAAGGAGTGTTTCAACATGGACAGTGCACCCTACTGTGTCAAGCTTCGTAACTGCTGAGTGGGTGAAAATATGGTTAAGTTGACGGTATTTTCCTCACTTAGAGCTGGCAATACAAAAGTCCTTGCCAGTTAAAGGGTAAATGACAAAAATAATCAGATCTTTAAGACTTTACTCACCAGATAGGAAAGAACTACAAGTGTAATTTTTTAATGTATTTTTCTAAACCCCTTGTAATTCTTATGAACAACTGACTGAAACAGTGGAAGCCAGAACATAAATTTCAGTTCCTGACAAAACACATGGTTTGCAATAGAAATGTTATTTGGCAGCTTTCACCACATTCATCCCCACCATATTAGCATCATTCGCCCTCAGGAAATCTCTAAAACTTTATAGTACAATGGAAAGCTTTTATCTATATATATAAAAATCACAGAACAGAATCATAGAATGTGTACATAAAAAGTGTATGTATGTGTGTGCGTGTATATATATATATTTAAAATTATTGCTAGGAAGTCTTCTCTTCCCTAATATATTTATCACGTTTAAGTAGAGCTCCACACAGAATTGCAAGACACAGAAGCAAAAAAAACCCATAAATTAAGTATGCAATACAGTACTGATCACCAAACTCGTGCCAGAGTATCCTAAAAAGCTCTGTAACAGTTCTGCTTTCTGCTATTGATTTCAAAATGGACATTAAATAATTCAAAGCTATGCTTCTGTTCATATTTAAACCACTTACATATTCAATAAACCACTTGACATAACCATTTCTTAAATATTATATGCCCACAAGAAAATCACTAGTATTATGTCTAGTGACTTTATCAAATGTGTGAGTGGTAATTTTTCTTTTAAACATTGGCGGTTTTATTAAAGAACGAAAATTCTAAAAGGAAACTAATTTAAAGCTTGTTAGGTAAGAAAAGAGTCTTATCTAGCCTGCTCTTATGGATTGCAGGAAATATTCTAACACTCTGATTTATAAAAGTAGCTCTTCAGAAGAAATAGTCAAAACCTCACGATTTATAATCTTCAAAACTAGACTAGTCAAAGCAAATGGAAATAACAAAGTAGGAAATAGTGCACCATTTATTGAAAATAAGAACAAAAGTTTGCTCTGCTTCCAGAGCAATGTGAATGTCATAAAAGCAATGTCAGACACATTCCAGCAAAGAACATCAAGCTTTGTATTTCCATCTCTATCCTGAAAGGCAAAGGTTTTGTGTGATATTCTGTGATTTATATATGACTACCTCATGTCTGGATCCTTCCAAACCTCAATGAATACACAAATTAAGCCAAAGTACACCTTAGGTTGAGACTACTCTGTGCAGATAAATGGTTTGTGAGGAACATTATTTTGTAAAACATAGGAACAGCTATAATTTCTGAGGGCTATAGTCGAGAGCTTGATCACTGAAGACAAACCAAAATCAAAATGTGGTTGTACCCACACTTCTTCAGGTTGCTCTAGGGACAGAAGCATTGTCCTCTACACCCTACAGAGTCTTCAGAATTTCTGAGTACCTATTCCCAGTGCACATCCTCCTATTTCCAAAACAGTTCCATCCCATCAGAACCTGCAGACCAGTCTGCACTTTGCACTAATTACATTACTGGAGTGACTCTCTGGAATTCAGTACTGTCTGGTTTATTACGAAGGTTCAACATCCTTGCAAGGACCTAGAGCACTGTAGCAATCCCTGCACAGAGGACCTGAATCACACCAGCGAAACAACAATTTTGGCAATATTATCTGTGGAAATTCAAGCAAAGATAGCCAGCATCAGGCAAAGAAAACAGAGATAAAGGAAAGAACATTTGTTTTACCTGCACTATCCCATAGAGCTCACCTGACCACCCAAGAGACGGCGAGTTAGTTACCATGCCAGGTTTCTTCTCCAAAAAGCATACTGCCAGAGGATTTTCTATGCTGTCTTATGTTCGTTGCCTCTCGCGTGGTATGCATATTCATAGGTAGCCCTTCCTCTCAGATTTAGATAGCCAACCCACTAATTTTACTTTTTGTACGTTTCTTATCTACCTTGTGTTGCAATCATTAGAATTAGCATCAGCATCAATTAGTTTCTATGGAGTTTTTACGGTACTATTGTGGTTATACTGTTTGTTGTTGTTATGCCTTCATCTGCTAATAGTGTTACATGTTCCACTTTTTTCTCTAATAAACTTCCTACAATTATCCATTACTCAAACCTACATTTGCTGGTAGACACAGAAATCCAAATTTACAAGACTGAGCAAATTATTTAGACATCAATTTTCTAACTTGCAGTCATCTAATTTGTGGGCTTACAGTCCTCACATTATTCACTTAAGCAAAAACTGTGTCATATTGGGGCTTTTTAGACCTAATATGCAAGGACTTTTAAAACAGAGACCATTAGAAATGCTGGTACATTATTTGCATTATTAATAGTGAGAGATAAAAACACTTTAATCATGCAGACGAAATGGCATTTTTCAGGTCTTTCGGGAACCTATTTCCTCATAGGAATTTTAGGTATAATGGATTACCACTTAATGCTGTATCATGCAGCTTTAATTTTGCTGAGTCAGCATCTAAAGTAGACATAAAACTTTGCTATACTAGATTTCTTGGATTAAATAAAATCTGCTATCATGAATTTGAAACAATCACATAGTCTGGATAACAAGACAAGGAGAAGCTGGGGGGGAAGTAATCGGTTAATGCAAGCAAAGCATTAACCATGGATTATAACTAAAAAAAAGAAAAAAGAAAATACTGTGCAGTATGTTCTTTTTTGTTAACTTCTATCAGGATCTCCTTTGTTGTACATCTGATATTTTTTGTTCTTTTAAGATGACAAACAGGTAAATCCCAACCTGATACAAAACAACAAGATTGATACATTACTTCTGGGGAAGGAAATATCTTTAAATTTCAAAGCTATATGCTCCAGTCACTTTGGGACATTATTCGCTCTTCTCAAAAAAAGAAGTCAAGACACAACTCTTCAAGAATAGCGTCATTGTAATATGTAAAAGCATCCATGCCAAGACTCCATTTATCTCAAAATAAAAGCAGCCTCATGTGCTCTATTTTTGGCTCTGTCTAGAAAAAAATACGTATGGGTCATCCAAAGCAAAACTTCACATTTTATTGGTACTATTTCTAGGTGCACATTTTTAGTGTAAAGTTCACTGCTCAGGTTCAGAAACATACTTTGGTTTTGAATGCACATCATGTTCTATGCCTCAGTTCAACAGTTGCACTATTTTCTCGTGATTTTTATTCAAGAATACGTCACTGGAACGTGGTCACTTTGCACTTAATTTTTTGAAGCTACCAGATTTAGAAAATTCATAAACTAAAATAATCCATTTGGTGTAATAATGAAGTTATCTTAAAAGCTGAAGTATACACAACATTTGCAAATATGCTGATAGCAATAAATATATCTAAAGCTCATTATTTAAAATACTAAGTCTAGCATTTTACTTTTACATGAGTTGTACAAATCAGTTTTCAGGTTTTCTTCAATTGAGACATGGAGTTCAAGTCAGGTCCAACATATTTCTTGTCTGCTGAGTTAAACATAAAAACTAGACTTCCCATAATCTTCTTACAGCATTATATTTTTAATTACAAAGACATAGGACTGAATTTGTAATTTTCACTCAGGAACATCTCCTAATTTATCCAACTAAAGAATGTAAAATAAGGTTTCTACTCCCCCACAGTCTCCATCTGGATGGTAATTTTAGCTTTTAACAACCACTGTTATTGCATCAAGCTTTCGTTTTCCATTGGAACGTCAAACTCATAACCGGAATTAGCAACAAATGTTAATTTTATTTAAGTATTTTTAATAGTGATTGCCATTAAAGAGGCAGAACTCACTTGTAAAATATAGCTACACTTGCACAGTATAGATAAAACCAAACATCAAAAGCTGATGTGAAATAAAAGCGAAAAGAATGTTTTAGTCAGAAAGGAAATTAATAGTGATTTTTGTTTCTAAAATGGAAAACTTCTCTTATTTGAGACAAATAAAAACTATAATTAGGACAAAATCTAGCAAATTCAAAAGGAAATAACCATGCATTCATAAAGAGGAAACAGTTTACCATCTACCTACAGAATAGTAGTAGTTACAGACTTATAGTGAGTGCACACAAACTCTTGGAAGGTGACAAACTACAGAGATTTAAACCCCTTGTTTTTTTTTAAACTAGCCAAGAGTCACTTTTTCTTGTTAATCATGTGACTTTCTTCCGCAATATAAATGTGAATTTAGACTATATGATTCATATTCAATCCTGCAAGATTTAGCTCAAAACAGTCCCAATAGAGGTGAAGGAGTATAGAACATCACTAAAACAACTGTGATAAATGTAGGGCCAACACCACTAATCTAGTCAATTTGAACAAATTTTATGATCTAAGGCTTATTTGGAAAATCAAGAATATAAGAATTGTCACCACAAAACCCAAACCTGGATTTATAGTAAGTAAAAATTAAGATTATAAACATAACACCTTAAAGCTAATTTTTGATGAAACAAATTACCTTGATAAATATGAAGGTATATTTGTTTCCACTTTTGATTTTCATGACAGTATCATTTAAGGATAAATACAGCCCTTTCAATTAAGAGTTCTGGTTTTCCTTTTTTGAGGTCCTTAGAGAAGGCCTGTTTAAAATCCTGCTAGCATTGACATATTAAAATCCTGCAGTGCTCAATGGTTGCTGATGCTTCCTTCTCCTCATGAATACTTGTGTAAGTTATTCTGAGTTAATGAAGCTAAAAGCCTGAAAAAATAGATTTTTCTCATACATAGGTCCACTTGATCTACCAATTTTTCTTTGTCACTCGGCAAAAACCTTGCTAGTGCTTTGACCATACAGAAAATAACATCTATACTTTTATATCACTGGAAAGATCCAAGATTGTAAATAGCAGTGAAGAAAATCGAATATACAGAATGTCAATAATAGAAAGTGAATCATATTCCATTACTGAGAGATAAAAAAATGAACTCACAAATAGTCCCTTTAAAACTCCCATTAGTAGAAGTAATAACTGTGCTTAAGAAATAAGTCTTTAGCCTTACCCAATAGGCCTTGAAACAATAATTTCAACTTGAGGTTCTGATTTTGATTCTAAAATAATGTTGTAAACTTCTTCATTTGTAGCTCCAGGTAAGGGTTTACCATTCCATTCTAGAACTTCATCCCCTTGAATTTAAAGAGAAGTTTATCTCATTTCCATATTCTTTTACAAAGAAGTGCAAAACATTTATGAAATCTAGATAACCACATAACGTTGCCCAAAATCCATTAAAAAGCTGTGCTGAAACACAATAAAGGTTTGAGACACTATCCAGCCTCATTTCTCAGAACACGGCTACAATTTGTACACACAAAACATATTAATGAAACCACTTGTGCAAACACATTAAGTTTTTCCAAAATAGTAGAGCACCTGTTATTGTTCTATGATAGGAAAGAGTCTTTTTAAAAGATCTTTTATTAACTAGCAGTACTAAAGTTTGAAAACAGGTTAATCTTCAAAATGAAAAATACAAGAGTCTATTGTTAAGCCTTTTAAAATCATGACATTTTATTACAGTTTATATACCGTGTATTTCAATTTCTCTACAAAAGGGCAGTCTTCACTGTCTGTGTCAAATGAACCAAAAATAAAAGCAAGGAGTGAGTTACTGTCTCCTGAGGATGTTAGGGGGGACAAAGGAAAACATGATGTGAAAGTTATTTAGTTAACTTTCTTCAGCTTGCTGTTTCTGGAATTTAAGCAGTATGTACATTACATTGTATTTTAGCCTTATTATAAAAAGGTGAAAATCTTGAACTATAGTTTCTAAAGAAAGTTCTGTGTATACAATTAAACTGCAGGAAACATAGGTAAGTTTATACTCTTACACGTCATCATATGCAGCAGTCAAAACTTCACAATCACTATATGATGCCCCATATTACTTTCTTTATTGACAATTATTTTATCTTTCTTTATTGACAATGATTTTATGTTTATCACACTCAGTCAGGAACAACCCTTCAGCTGCTGGCTTTGCTCCTTTCTGAGCACATCTAAGCTAAATGACCAAACCTGCACTTGTTAATAAGCCAAGGAAAACTATCCTGACTGAAGTCCTATCTACCAAAACACAGGGCTTCAATTTCTCTTTGCGTTCAGCGATTCTCAGTCCTTTCTCCCAAACAGCCTGTATTTTGGTATTTTAAGAAAGGACTCCACAGAGTATTCCACTGGCTTTCAAAGCATTTTGTCGTTCTTTAAAACGTAAGGGCTTGCTAATGACAGACTTAATAAATGCTTGCTGACATAAGTTTAATGTTCTGCCACGTTGTTTAGCTGAAATCGTTTTAAGTATTTCATAACCTTCTGTCAAGCAGGAAAAGGAATTAGATATTGCCTAGGAATTTCATTTAAAATTCTTACAAGTTAGTGGGAACACACTCAGTTTCTTCTGTAATTCTCACTGTATTTTAAAGCTAACAACTGCTATAAACTAATGCGTTGTTTATCACTAAAATAAAATCTGATTTCTTTAGAGATAATTGGCCTAATTTACAAAAGCATCTGAGGCATTAAAAGCAACAAGATGTGGCCAGCTTTGCAATAGTTGTAACTTAACAGCAAAAACCAACAGGGACATATTCTAAATTTGTAACGCTAAATAAACCTATGTTACACAGCAATGAATCTATCATATTTTGCAGATGACAAAATAGGTGCAACATGGTTGAGAATCCTAAAGAGGAACATATAAGGTGTCTCTGTTGCTATTTTAGAGGACTTTAGCAGCTTTTTTACTTTTGAGAGTCACTAGGAGACAGAACAAGTAAAAAAAAGAATTGCCAGGATGATTAAACATAAGATCATCATAGTCTGGAAGCTAAATTAACAGAAGTGGCTCCAAATATTCTTACTGAAAACTAGATCCAAATGGAGATACGAGTGAAATGTCAGTTCTGTTAGTTCTAACCAGATCACCACCATCAATCTTTTGCTCAGCTTGTCCAGTTCTTGATCTTCTTGACTAGCCAAGCCCTTTTTCACTGTCTCTTTCATCTAAGATGCTGTCTATAAGGCTTACATTCTGATTTCTGCTCTCACTAACAGGCATGGAAACAGGAAAACACCATCCAGATACTCAAAATTTGGACATATGCAAAACCCAACCAGATGCGGTCCTGTGCAACCTGCTCTAGCTGACCCTGCTGAAGCACTGGGGTTTGACTAGAGGTCTCCAGAGGTCCCTTCCCACCTTAACCATTCTATGATCCTGTGATACACTGGTACAAACTGAGGTGAGATGAAGTCCCTGGTCTAAAGTCCCACTGTAGTAGCCCAGAGATGCAAGTCAGTCAGTCAGGGAGCTGTTAGACATCTCACACTGCAGAAGTTTAGGAAAACCAAGATAGCTGCACAAATCTGTCTGGAAGAACCTAAAGGACACCTGCACCCTTATGGAGCCACTTATGCTGGTGAGGCATATATCCCAGAATATCTAAGACACCTGTGAAAAGGCATATTAATACATCTTGCATTCTACCTCCACTTACTGATGCATGTTCAGCAGACATGGGAAGTTTTCAGACCTATGCTGCAAATATCTGACTTGTTTTATATTGATTTCTAAAATAATAATTTGGATTGGGAGACACCTCTGCAAGTCAGCTAGTTCCAACCCCTGCTCAAGGGAGGGCCAACATCAAAGGATAGACCAGGTTGCTCAGGGATTTGACCAGATGAGATGTGGGTGTCTCAAAGGAAGGATATGCAGATTCTCCTCTGGGCAACCTGTTTCAAGCCCTAACTACCCTCTCTAGATACAAGCAAAAAGATTTTCACAAAGAGGATCTCCCTCATCCCGGTTTGTGCACATTGCTTCTTGTGTGACCACTGTGCACCTCTGAGGACAGTCTGGCTCTGGTTTCTCTGCAGCCTCCCATTAGCCAGGTAAAAAAAACAACTAGACCCTCGCATAGTCTTTTCTTTTCCAGTCTGAACAAACCCAGTTCTCTCAACTTCTTGTACACCACATGCTCTAGACCCCTAAGCAACTTTCTGTCCATCTGCCCAACCCAGTCCAGCTTGTCAGTATCTCTCTTGCACTAGAGGAACTCAGATGCAACACAGTACTCCAGATATGCACTGAATAGAGAGCAACAACCACCTCCCTCAACCTCCTGGAGACAATCCTGCTAATACAGCCTTGTACATGGATTGCCATTCACTGCAAGGGTGCTTTGCTGACTCACATTCAACTTACTGTCCTCCAGCACCTCCAGACACTTCTCTGCCAAGCTGCTTTCTGGCTGTTTGGCTCCTAACGCTTACTGTTGCACTGGGTTTTTCTGTTCCTGATGCAAGACTTTATGTTTGCCTTTGTTAAAATTTAGGAGGATTGTACAACTACTCAAAGATCTATTAACTAGCCAAATTTTGGAGGTTTTTCATAAAGATGAAAAAATGTTTTTTCCTAACAGCAAGGACTCATGCATGCCTTTTTTGTGCTTTAGTCCCACACAATAGGCTGAACAGACTTTCATTCACTGAAAACATGCGCAAAGCAATATTTTTTCTGTGAAATTATTTTGTCTCTAAAAATACTTTTAGAAATTAAAAATAGCTTTGACTTAAAACAACCTAGACCAGACATAAGAAATGTAGTATTTCAGTCCAAATAGTTCAAGATTAATGGAGAGAAATTTATTTTCTGTAATTATAACCTGCAGTTAAAATCTGTAAACAACTATAATAACTGGCGCTATCAACTCCCTGTATATTGACATGGTAAAAAAACTAATTAACAAACGCCAAAACAAAGTAGGATATTTTTAGAGACTCATCATCTTTTCTACTTCTTTATTACTATCTGCATCATGCAATTATCCTAAATTCATACAAGCTGTCATCAGAGCTTCTGGATTCCTAAGAAGGTACTGCACAGACTTTGGTTTGCTAAGACTGCACTTGGAAAGTAGTTGCTTAGAGCCATTGTAAAAATATAAACCACTAAGAATTAATTTGAAAATCAACTGCTGTGTGTAGTTCTCGCTTCATTTAGAAGCTTGAAAAGTGCCAGCAGCACAGTCACTTCTTTGTAAGTAAGCGCAGTATATACATCTTATCTAAATGAATTACTTTAAGATCATTTTCTTGGGTTGTTTTCCATTTTTATTTGTAACACTAAAAGTCCATTGTATACACAGTGTATCATCCTTCAGGTGACACTATAGTGCAAGTAAAGTAACTGTAGTGAGTTTGTTTGCCATAATGGAAGAGTTTAAAAAACTGTTTGCATTGCTTCTATAGAGAGTGTAACAAGCAGCTCTTGAGCTAGCAAGCAAAATATTTATCAGTGACACTCGGTCCTGATACTAGTATTCATCAGGAGGGTCTTATATTTTGCTTATACATCCAAGTAATTGGAGTTAATAATAAATTAGAAATGCAGACAACTGTGGCATAACAACTTTAGAGCACTGTCCTGTATTTTAAAAATATTAGCATATCACATGACCAATGTTAATATAAATTAACAGCTATATTATAAAAAGCCTTAATTAAACGACAGTGTATTTGGTATGCAACTGATTGATTTACCTGCTCTGAGATGCCCCACCACATCAGCCAAGCTACCTTTCTTCACTTTGGTAATAAAGGCACCGAGTCGTCCCAGTTCTGTCATTTTTCCTCCAACAACCTGGTTAATCACAAATTCGTGAGCTTCCAAGCCACAAACCAGACATCATATCAACATATCATCATATCAACAACAAATATACAGACAGGTCAATTTTCACAATATTTTTAAAACTAAACTAAAAATATGCATAAGCAAATCTATCATCAATTTGGGCTTTACAGAGACTTAAAGACAAAGTTAAAGATACAAAAAACCCAGATCAACTTGAAAAGAAGTAAAGCTGACAGACTGAATAAAATTAATCTTCGTTTTAATGTGTTTGACTAAGCAATCTTACACAATTTGCTACGTATCTAGATTTGTTGCAGAAAGAACTTTTCTTAATAAATAGTCAAGAAAATGTACTTTTTGCAACAAGGTGTCTTATGTTCTTACATTTAAATTGCAGGTGCACATCAAACCAAACGTATGAAAGTCTCCAAATGCAATTGGTACAACAATTAAAAACGTAGCAAATACACTACTATGAAACATGGGCAAACAGTTCACAAAAGCACTGCTACTGCTAAAACTCAGGCCCTCTCATCCAAGCACACGACAGAACAAAACAGCAACTTCTGGCTTCTGCTAAACAGAACTGAATAGAGCTGTTTTTGAGATGACTGCATGATACAGAGATCAGGAAAACCAGAAAAAAAAAAAAAGGTGCCCTCCAGAGATTAGATTTTTAATAAAATATAAACCAAGAAAATGTAGCCTTGCTGACTTGCTATTCTCTATCTTACTCTCTCCATTCAGGTGTTTTGTCAGGAACATCCTGTGAATTTTATAATAAAACAAAACAGTGCAATGCTGGTTCATTTGGTATTATTTCACCATGTTGCAATTACAGGAACTACTATGAGCTTTAATACACATATGTATCTAAGCAGATGCAGAAGCCTACCTGCGAACAAGGTTGTCACAAGCCAATCCGTTAAATTTAGCCAGTGAGGGGTTCAGTTCATATCATACAAAAATGAAGTTTGAAAAATCAGACAGAACCTATCCAATCTACATTTCCTACTAGGACCAACCTTTTTTCCTCACATATTGAAAAAAATTGCTTGCTGCCAGCAAAAATCAGCCTTGTGCTACAGACTACCAGACATTAAGTAGAGTGAAGCTGTTCTCTATATCCCCACGCCACATGATCTCACTTCAAGGTGGATAAATGGCACTTACCCAGGACATGCCATTACCAAGTTCGCAAGGTTCTTTCCTGATTTAATTCCCACCATGACAAACAGAACCGACAACCCACATCTTCATCAGATGTGAGGGACTCAACTATCAGACAACTATACGCAAGGAGCAGTTCAGTGTCAGCACCCTTTGAAGCAGGCTCTGTCCTAAATGGACAGGAATGTTTCATATTTTGCATGGTTTTTGTTGTTCTCAGGGGGGAGAGGAAGACACCCAAATTAAATCATCTCAGTCATTTTTGGAGCTCCACGTAGTAAAAAACATACATGGAGCAAGAAACTCTTGAACTGGCACACCGTACTCCCCACCAGCTTCAGAAGTAGCACACTCTCTTTAGTGTTACAGCAGTTTCAGGACACAAACCCAAAAGTCCACTACAAATGACTTATTTAGGGATTTAAATCAACTGGACAGTGTTCCCAGTATCTTAACATTGGGGCACCAGATTAACTGGAATTACATTTACTATAATCTCTACTATGCTTTATATGGTTTCTTTGCAAATTTTTGTATAAATGTTTAGTTTCTTTCTACAAAATTTCTGTTTCTGAATGGCTGCATGGATTTTAAACACTGACCTTGTAAACATTTGCATCTGGATGACATTTGTGTGTGTGGATTATGAAATGACTGAAATGCAAACAGTAGAGCTAGAAAAGGCAGGACTCCACTAGTGCATTGCAATGTGCAGTGTATATCTTGCAGACGGAAAGCTGAATAAACATATACTTTTTAATCTGAACAGTTCAGCTCCTTTGCCATGGATGAGTGGAATACTGCACAGAAGGATAATTAATCTGTATAACTTTCAAAACTTGATAAAAATGTGGAACATATTTTTGTCAAATGACCATAAAATTGGATAGTCCTCTGATTTAATGTATTAGACCTCTAGCTCTAAGGTCAGTGGAAGTTTCTTTCGTTTACCATATAAACCACGTAATACTTACTTTTAGTCCCAACAATGCACCTGATTCTTTTGGCATGGTTGTTCTTTTGTTAAGAATAACACGCCCAATTAAGCGATCGCCCTCTTTAGAAGGCTGCCACGTTACTGGATGCTGTTCAAAAAACAAGTAGTGGAATTAAAGAAGTGTAGCTACTTTCCTGTATTTCAATACACATTTACAAACCAACGAAATTTCTGGATCATTATATCACGGTAGACACAAACATTCTTCAGCTGTGTTACCTATTGCACCTAAGCTTTCTATTACTCTATCTGCTGGACTATACGCACTGTAAAAAAACCTCAGTACGAAGTCTGCAGGTAGAACTACTACAATTCAAAGTTCAATACAATTAAACATTTAAAACATATCTTAGGTCACAAAATTAAATATTCACTTTTAAATTCCATGACCCTCAAAAGTGCATTCGTAAATTCTGTTCCTTAGACTAACATACATATACCCCTCTATCATATGGGCTCACTATATAATAAAAATCCACATGATCCTTTCCCATTCCAAGTCAACAGAAAAAGTCATTAATTTCTCCCACAGCAGCATCACACTCATAGCTGCTTTTGTGGTGTGTAGTTAAATGTAGTATCATGTCTATAAAAAGAATACAATTCAAGTTAAAATTCAGGCAATTTTACTAGTATAGATTTTGATTAAAATTTCTTTCTGATTTCAATTTCCATCATCCACTAAACCAAATTTTCATATACTTTGTATAGAATAATTTTTTTACAACAAAATATCTGTGCTGAACTGAAATAATCAAACATTTTAATTCATACTCATAAACCTCTTTTTCCACATTCCTTACCGAACTAATAGGGGATGTCTCCCTGCTGTGCCACGTGGCAGGATCCAGCCAGTAATAATCCAAGTCACCTGGAGGAATATGAATAGAAAGAAATGTGTAATCTCTCAAAGATAGATGTAGGAATGATTACTTCTGCACGCATGAATTTTAATGTGCAATAGTTTGATGAAACAAATACAAAAAACCTGTATTATGATTCAAATTAACTTATATCAATTTGAAAACAATACAGCCTGATAATATAAAAACAAAAATACATAATAATGCATTTATCTGGACTTCTGCTTTTTCACAAATTGCACTCAGAATCAGTTGTACACTCCGGCCGTTTTTGAGTTGCCCAGTCATCTTCCAAGAATGGACCCCAGCGCATTGCATTCACAGCCCACTACCCACCCCCCATTCCATAACAAACACAAAGGACTACAGCTAATAACATGAGAGAGAATACTCCACAAAATAGTCACCTAGCTACAGTTAAGGTCAGAACAACCACACTTAAGAACCTGCCAAGCAGTTGATCAATACTGTGACAACAGGTACTGTACAGACGGAGCAGCACAGGAGCTGGCAAAGGGTAACAGAGCACCAGGCAAAACAGCCACACAAATAGAGCAAATAGTGCCAACAGCAGATACGAGGTTGCAATCTTTCATTTTGCTTAGGAGAAACTTACACACCACGTACATCCAGAACAAACCATGAATTACAGTGGTCTGGAAGCCATGAGCCCTTTGGGCCAAGGAGGGGAACTGTGGGTAGGGTTTGGGAGAAAAGACAGCCAAGTGAAACACCACAGAGAGTATATATGAATTCATGGAAAGCTAAGGAAACCACAGTCTGACTTAATGTATGACAGCTGTAGAGGCTGAGTCAGTAGCAAAAAACTACCAACTTCACCAGCAGTTGTCTGTGATGGAGGACTGATATCAATGTGCACTCCAAGGAGGAAAAGGACAAGGCAGGAACTGCAAGAGGAAGAATATCGGGCAATGCAATTCAGAGTGCAATTTTCTTTACAAAGAGGAAGGGTGCAGGTGACATTGGGAATGATTTCTGCGCTAGCACTAGTTTTAAACAGAATACACCTGTGAGGTCTGAACCTTGACATTATTTCATCCCTTTTGGCATTTCCACAGCATATTAATAAAATGCAATAGTGTCATTACAAATGAGAATGAAAACTCTTCCTAAAGCTTTCTAGCAATAACAGTAGAATATAAAAGCTTGACCTGAAATAACCAAGAGATATTTTTGAATTTTATCTGAGAAAAAGTAGATGCTTCTGCCATTTAGCTTACCATGCCTTTAAACACGCGAAAAAACAAAACCCCCACCAAACCAAAGCCTAAACTAACACTTCAGAGGTTAGTTTCAGACCCTGAAGGAAATACAGCCACCTCTCACTGAGGTTTATATCCATACCTGCACTTCTGGCATTTTTCACCCTCACTTTGGCAGAGAACCTTGGTCACTTGAAGTACGTTAGTGGAATGGTTTGCTAGCACTGCTTTTTGAATTCTCAAGTGATTTTTGTTTTCAAGTATTTAAATAATTATGTCCCAGAGTTAGTTTTCGTTACAGAACAACTACTCACAAGCTTTCCTAACAACATTCCTACAAACTCTTTACCAATCATTTAAAAGTCACCGGGTAAAAATCCTACTTTTTCATTAAAGTCAGATACTTACTGCTGATACCCTCTGCACTCTCAATATGCTGTATGTCTTCAGAAAACACATTTTCTTTATTATGTACACTTTAGACAATACATCTTCACTATGTTATCTTATAAAACACGTCTCTAATACTACTGTCATATCACTACTCTTACTAGCGCTCAGGCATTCAACACAAGTCGAAACAAAGCACTCTTCTAGCAAGAAAAAAATATACATTTACATGAAGAGTTTATTATTTTTGACTCTTTTTCTACAAGTATTTAGATGCTAATTATGAAATACAAGTTGTATCACTTCGTAATCTGTAAAATCCTTAATAGTTTTATGAACTACATGATCATATGCATAAGCATATTTTTAATCAGCTTATTTTCATTTTTAAACAGCTTATTTTCATATGCATAACCACACGAGACAGCTTGCAGTTGCATCAGCTACCGCATTTCTGCAGTTTTGGAGAGCTTAACTTCACATTGAAGATCTTTTAGTTTTATGTTTAGCATCACTCCTTGCACCTTTATAGACTTCAAAATTGCAACAAGAACAACAACAAATCCACAAATCAGCCTGTCACCCCAAGTTCTGGCAGTAAGCCAGAACTGTGGCTCAGAAGCCAGTTCTGTGGCTCAGAACTCTCCAATTTTCTGTGACGGACTCAACAGTAACACCAAAAAGCAACTTCTCCTGTGTGCGCCGGCCTGCCACAGGCAAACCACAACATATTTTGCCTCCATGTTTCACAGCTATTTGCTCAGCAATAGAGAAATGTTCAAGGAGGAATAAATGTCAGCTCCAGCTTGCAGGCATATGCATCCAAAAGGTCAAAAACATTTCTGCTCTTTTCCCTGTTGCTCCCTGCTCTCTTCCTTTCTTCCTTCCCCAGCTTCGGCTTCCGGGTCCAAGTTAGCTTGCTGTTCTTCCTGTTGGTTATTGTGTATCCATGACCACTTGATTCATGCATCCAGCATCCTTCCCCACCAAGTCCCTGCTACAGAAAGATCCTCTCATATGTCTTCTGTCTTGGCTAAACTGCTAATTCTCCCGTCTTCACCAACTATCTAGCCTTCTCTGCCTTTCTTCCCTGTCCATTTTTCTGCCATCATCCACCTTCTGCCTCCTTCTGCTCCTGGCTTCAGTGTCCTCTCTTTAGGCTGTGTATTCTAATCCCTCCTTCCCCTTACGCCCCTCGACACTAAGCTACATCCTCGCAACCCCCTCCTCCCCACACATACGCCTTCAGCTTTCTGTCCCTTTCACCCCTCCGGTCTGTTCTGCACTTTGGTAAATTCCAAGCCCCCAGATACATCCACTGCAGCCAGCCAGGGCCATGGTCCTTTCGCCCCCTGCTCTCAAAAGCTGAGAGCAGGAACTGCACTGCAAAGGCGGTGGAACTGAGCAGGAGCATTGACGATACACTGGTGTAATCGATGGCCTTGCTGGACTTGTCAATGCAAGATGAAAGACAAACTCGGACTCAGGCATCAAGAGCCAAAGAGTTAACAAAGCGAGCAATTGACTTGTGTTTATCTTATCAGACAGAAGTAAGGGGGGATAGCCCATCACTGTAAATCCAGTGATCTGTGGGGAGCGGCGAAGGCTGTGCAGCCAGAGGTTGCTTTGGATAAAAAACAGATGGCCCTCCTGAGCACATACCAAGATGCCCACGTGTCAAACTGCTGAGTCCCGCTTGTGACGACACGACATTCCATGCCAAGAGCCAATCGACACACAATAATTGACTGAGTCCCACCTCGCAAAAAGATTTTCAAAGGTATAAAATTTGGCACTTGAAAAACTCTCTTTGGAGGAGGAGCCAAGCGAGAACTCTACCTAACAGATGGGTTGATGAGCCTGAGCCTCTCTTCCCCCCCCAAGAAGGGACGCCTTTTTGGCAAGAGTCGCGCCTCTGACTTTGTCAGACGTATCCCCAGGAACACATTGTTAACTAAAGCACTAAATTATTACTTTGAGCTCAACTTTTGTAGACAGTGCATTTATCAATGGCAATCCCGAATCTGTGATACCTGTTGCTTGAATAAATTACCTATTGTTTCAACTTTGCGAAACTGTTTCAGTGAAAGTCCTTGGAAGGGCTCTGGCAGACAAGTTGAATCTGCTAAGTGGCTACACACTTAACCTCTTAGACAGAAACCGTTGACCAAGTCTGGGACTAGGAGTAGATCCAGCCACACCTAGACTCCTCTCTGAGAGAGAGTTTAGAACATAAGGGGGTCTGCTCTGAACCTCATGACTCAACTGGAGGGCTCTCCTTTTGCCGCTTATCAGACTCCCTTACCCCTTTTAACGCAACAATTAGGAATGCATAAAAGGCAACTTTCAAATCAAAATTCTTGACTGAAAGTGATGGGTCTACAATTAGGTGAATATTTTAAAAGCTGCAAAAATGCATGAACTGGGGAGAAAAGAGTCCACATTCTTAAAAAAATCACTGAATTTTTAAAATCCATTAAAATTCAGTATGAAATAGACCACTGGCATGCAAACTCTTGGGTGAATGTACAACTGTAAAAAAGGCGTCTACAATCGAAAGTGTCAGTTAATCTACATCCATAAAAACTTATAGCATAGAACATGAAAACTAAAACATAAAGGAACAAAATCCCCAAATGAGCTTGAAAAGTATTTAATGCCAGCAACACTGACACCAGGCTCTTGACATCTGCAGATCAGTACTGTTATAGCTATACTTCCAAAAATAATTTCTCCTTGATTGTGCTATGTCACTGCTGCTTCTTTACTTAATACCTGTTTATGCCATTCTTGCACTGCCACATCCCAGAAATGACTATTTGTTTAATTACACAAAATAATTTCACTGACCTAATATTACTGAGATCCAGAAGTAGGTAAATAACATGCAAACACTTACAATCTAAGAGCATAATTTCAGATTTTCAGATTTTCTAAAAAAACCCACCAAAACTTATAACAAAAAACCCTATATGCAGAGTACTCTCTGCACTGCTAAAAGTCACTAAAAATAACTAGTAAAGTAAGACAAATTTAAGACATTATGGAGAGGAAAAATTCCGAGGAGCAAATAATTGATTTACTGGCTTAAACTGCTCTTAAACACTTTTGAAACATTGTTTTAAATTTAAAAAACATGAAAAACTTGAAAATAATAGGCCCCCATGAAAATACACATATACTGTATCATTATTTTTGTACATTAATGATATACTCCTGAAACATACAAAAAAGTATTACAACTTAAAGCGTATTATTAAAAATACATTTGCAGTTATAATGCATATTTTATTTAAGACCAGTGGAGTGAAACAAGTATATATATAAAACCTTTTTTCCTGAGGGAGTAATTCAAAAGTTTTATCCTGCCAGCAATGAAATGTTTTTCCTATTAA